TAAATCTCAAGTTAATTTGATCGCTTGGGCGCCTTATGAACTTGAGTGGCTGTTTGTGAAGAAAAAACATATGAAATGAAGATTCTGAAATAAATGATAGGTTCAGAAAGGCTAGTACCCAGAGCCGTAGAGCCAGTTAAATAAAAAAAAATTACTTGTTAAGTATACATAATTACTGACTATATACTAGAGATCATAATAAATAAATACGTAGCAAGCTACATATATGATGACTATATACTAGAGGTATACTGTTACTCTTGTTGTTACCTACGTTTTGCTTTTATTATTCTTGTTGTTACCTACGTTTTGTATTTCTTGTTATGTTTTGTTTTAATAATGCCTAACGCATACGTTTATAGTGCTCGTGAATACGGTAACATGTTGATGTGCCTTGGAGAAGCTCGCGGTAATGCTTCGCTTGCATTACGAATTTACCGAGAGAAATTCCCGACCGCTCGACACCCAGCTGACTCTCGTCTGATAACAGCAGCATTTCAGCGAGTTTTGGAAAATCTGCCCATTGTTCCGGTAGCGGCAGGAGGTGGAAGGCAATTGGCTGTTCACTCCGAGGAGCGCATTTTAAATGTTGTTCGCCGCAATCCGAACCTAGGTACACGAACTATCGCTAAATTGTTAAGGCGTCGGGATGGAACAGGTGTGTCATACTCGACAGTTCACAAGGTATTAAAGCGTAACCGAATACGCCCATACAAAGTGCAGAAACTGCAAACTTTAGTTCCCGCCGATCACGACCGCCGGCGAGTTTTCTGCCGTTGGTTATTAGACCAGCAACAACGTGTGCCTAGTTTCATTGAGCACGTCATCTGGACGGGCGAGATGACATTTACTAGAAACGGCCTGTGGAACCGAAGAAATACACACGTGTATTCCGAGGTTAACCCGCACGCTGTTCGACGAACCGAGCACCAAACCCAATGGTCGGTTAACGTATGGGCAGGTTTATTTAAGGATCGCATACTAGGACCAGTGTTTCTGCCACAGCGACTTAACGGACAGCGATACCTAGACTTCATAAATGAACAGTTGGTTGACATTTTAGACAACCTATCGTTGGCTGAATATCGCTGCACATGGTTCCAGCATGATGGTGCTCCTCCACATATTGTGAGTTTCGTCTGTGAGCGCCTCACCGAATTATTTGATGATTGCTGGATCGGCAGATTAGGACCACACGCTTGGCCTCCTTGCTCACCAGATCTGACCCCGGTAGACTTCTTTCTGTGGGCGTATGTGAAAGAAAGAGTTTTTAATCATGAGTGTGATAGTGCTGATGAAATGCGCCAAAGGATCGTGGAAGTTTTTGACAAACTACATGCAGCCTGTGTTGAAGACCCCACGATGATGCCCCGTATGCATGAGGAGACTCAACGCCGAGCCCAAATCTGCCTCCAAATGAATGGGGCACAATTTGAGCCACGTCTCATAAGGCCACGGAGGATTTAGATCAGTAAGCTATTTCATACCTAATTCTTTTTAAATAACTTAATACTGAACTGATCTGAATGTGTGCATAAGATCACATCAGAATAATAAACATACCTACACAATAGATAATACAAAATACATGAATTGGGAATTTTTGTAGTTCGTATTATCCGATAATTAATCGTGAAGGGACGAAAAAGTTGTTCGAAGTTCGGATTAACGAGGATTCGTCTTAACCGAACATAATTACATTAAAGCTTATGGAACTATTGTCTAGAGCAAATATTTGTTCGCCTTAAACCAAAACTCGTGTTAACCGTGTTCGCATTAACGAGGGTTTACTGTATCTATATATTATGTGTATGTATTATGTATATTTATATATTTATATATATATATATATATATATATATATGTATGTATTTATATGTATGTATGTATATGTTTGTATGTATAAATAGGAGATAATTCTATAGTTTATTTATTTTATATATCAGTGGCTCTAGCAGTAAAAATCTATTAATAAGGAAGGATTAATGGATGTGTGTGCCAATGATTTTAATACCTCTGAAATTTACTCAAAAAAGGAAGAAACCTTACCGATAGGTAGCTGCCTATCATCAAATCTAGAAACATGGCCTAAATCCCAAATGACTACTCCTGACAAGAAATTTATTTCATTAACAGTTTTAAATTAACTTTCCAAAACGTTCAGAGCTTAGGAAATAAAGTAGATTTAATTGAGCATTTATTAGTTGATACAAACATTGACATACTATTATTGTCAGAAGTATGGAGAAGTGAGGACTTTTGTAAATCTATAGTAATACCAAATTGTAAAGTAGCTTCAAAACTTAGTAGAAAATAGCATGGTGGTGGAGGTGTATGCATTATGCTGAAAGATTGTATTGATTATATTGAAAAAATAGACTTGGTTAGTTTTTCCGTAGAACTTACGATTGAATTTTGTGCAATAGAAATACCAACATATAATATTGTTTTAGTCGGCTTTAGAGCCGACTAGTAATACATAATAGAATACAACTAAAATGTGACAAAACATGTCATTATAGGGGGGTGATTTTAATATAAATGTTAACGAAAACAACAGCGATTTTCAGGAACTCTTAAAATGTTCTCATAATTTAGCTCAACTTATAAAAGAACCCACCGAGTCACAAATAAAACAGCCACTTGTATTGATTAGAGTGATTGTAATTGGGTATAGGAAAACAAAAAATCGCAAAAGCATGATGTTAAATAATAATAACTACACAATAATGTGTCGCATACAAATTTTTAATCTATTTATGAATATTTTACAGCAATCCTTAAAACTAATAATGTTAATAAAAAACAGAAACAATATGAAAATTCTGTCGAATCGAAAGCGACATTTACCTAACCTCAGTTGATGAAAAAGAAATCCAAAGTATAAAAAAATTTAAAACTAAACATAGCTGTGGTGTAGATGATATACCACCGGCGCTTTTAAAACAATGCACCGAAGAATTTGTCTATCCCCTTACCTTTTTAGTAAACCAAAGTTTTCAACATCGAATATTTCCAGACCCTCTTAAAATAAAGCCGTTGCACAAAAAAAGAAGATAAAAAACCCTAACAACTATCCCTATGATATACTACTTTTACTACTTTTAAAACTTATAAATTTGGGTATCCATGGGCCAGTACATAACTGGTTCAAATCCTATTTAAATAATCGGAAGCAAATAGTAGAAATTGAACACTACAACCAAATTACAAATGAAATAATAAAAGTAGAACAAATGCTGTAGAAATGTGGTCTTTAAGGAGTGTGCTAGGATTGAATCTGAATGACAGGGTGAGAAATTGTGTGATAAGAGATAAATGTGGTATGCAAGATGATGTTGTGACCAGGATTAAGAAAGGAATGCTTTGGTGCTTTGGTCATGTAGAAAGAATGAATGAGGAAAGAGTGACAAAGCAAATTTATATGGCAGATGTGAACGGCAGAGTCGGGAAGGGACGCACTAGAAAAAAGTTTATCAACCAAATTGGCGATATTTTGAAAAGGGGCCACGTTAAAAGTTAACCGACCTTAACTTTTAACCGACGAGCATGTATGCATAGATATATGGATGTAAAGGAGGCGAAAGAGGTATGTCAGGATCGTTTCAAATGGAAGTCTGTGGTCTCTGCCTACCCCTCTGGGTGTCAGGCGTGAGTGTTTATGCTTATGCTATAGTAAAAGTTCATTCTGAAGAGAAACACCTAACTAGTTCAATCCCACAGGGCAGCGTTTTAGGTTGTCCTGTTTCTTATTTATGTAAATGACCTGCCAAAGTGTTTATATAAAGAATCAATACCGCCAGTATTATTTGCAGATTACTTGTCAACACCTATAAAAAGTAAGGACAACATTAGCTCTGAAGCCCTTATCTATGATACACTTCATAATGTCACTCATTGACTTGATAGCCCTAATCTAGAAATAAACCTTAAAAAAAAAATTTAGAATTTCATCCATACAATAAACCACCCCTAAAAATTAATATTCAATTTCAAAATACCCTAATAGAAGAAATAGACTTGTACAACTTGCTTGGACTTAATGTAGATACACATTTAAACTGGAAGTTGCGTATTGAAAAAATTAAATGCAAACTCTCTAAATTTACATATGCACTTTATCAAATTAATCATAGCACAAATTTAGAAACAGCACTTTCCACATATTACGCGTACTTATGCCTTTTCATGGCTTAAATATGGCATTATTCTTTGGCGTAATAGTGTTATTGCAGATGAATTATTCATTTTACAAAAAAAATGTGTTAAGATACTTGCCAGAATTGATAACAGACATAGCTGCCGACCCTACTTCATTAAATTTAAATTATTGACCTTTGTTTCTATTTACATAAAAGATATAAGTAACTTCGTATTTAAAAATAAACACTTTTTCACCCAGATAAAAGAAACACACAATGTAAATACTAGGCATAAAGATAGGTTATATTAACCCCCATCTAGAACCAAAATGCTGAATTGTAGCCCATATTACTTGGCAATTAAAACATTCAATAAACTATCAATAAATATAAAATCTGAAGTTAAATTAAGTTCATTCAATTAAAAACTTCATGATTATCTTATTTCTAAATGCTTTTACACACTCACTGAATTTTTTGATAGTTAATTACTAAGCAGCAAATTACTAAGTAATAAAATTTTATTTTCAAAACAGCCAAATACATGTTACTTTACATGAGCCAACTTGCATAAATTTTATGTTGTGAAGATTATAATGATGTTACATAGTTCTAAGTCCATTGAATTATTTTATTGTATATTTCTTGTAAATTCCAACGCCCGACAGGGTCTAAAATGTTCACTGTAACTGCTAATGTAACATTATAGATGCAGTAAACGATTTGAATTTGAATTTGTGTATACCCCATGTTGCAATAGGAACACTGTTAATGTACACACACACACAGGGACATAATTAATGAACATAATAATGCAAGGAGAATTAATTATAGACTAACATCAATAATTTGTTGCAGTCAACTTGCAAGGGTTTTGTGTGTGACGGGAAGCGGTGTATCTCGAACCTGTGGACATGCGATGGCACTTACGACTGCGACGATCGGACTGATGAGGATATCGAGAAAACTTGCAGTGAGTGAAATAATAACAAAACTAAATTATGTAATATGTGCATACCTATTTCAATATTTATACAAAGTTGTTGTTGAATATAGTTGTGATCAATTTCTTAGGATTTAATAATTTTTGCTTTTATAACTCCTTGAATATCAAACTATGGATTCTCATCATATTATAGTTCAAACAGCAAGGCCGCAACATTTTACCATTGTCACTTGCTAAATTTATTCACCATAGCCTTTAATTCAAGGGGTATGCCAAGGTATTCTACTTTGAATCTAAAGTCCTTTTCTTCTTTATAAACCATGTCCCCCTACACTAGAAGTTCTCCTGTATTGTGGATACAGTTTACACTTTTTCATAGAAAATAACTAATATTCATAGAATAAAACTAGGAATAGGATGGAATGCCTCGCTGCTAGTAAAAAGGATCTTCAGTTCTCAACTCTTACCATACAAAACCCAGCAGTAACAAGCAACCTATTGTTGTGTGCAGGAATCTCACCCAGGTCTGCAATACTGCGTCCAAATGTTTAGAACAATAATGCTTCACCAATCCTATAATGTATTTTTTTTATAGGATAGGGTGACAAACGAGCACACACTCCACCTGATGGTAAGTGGTTGCTGCGGCCCATAGACATCTACATCTATCCTCGATTACAGATCAAAATGCAAATTCGTTGTCACCCGTGAGGACTAAGATGGAATGCCTCGTTTCCAGTAAAAAGGGTCTCCGGTTCTCTACACTCACTATACGAAACACAGCAGCATTAAGATACTATTTGACGCTGGTATTCTGTGAGAGCGTAGTTTTTCCCTGGTCGAGCCGACCCATTCGTGCTACTACTAAACTACTAATATAACTGCAGCATGGCTCTGCCACGTGTAAATGTAAAGTTACAGCTTACATTCATTCCAATTATGACCTTTTCTCTTTATTGAGAGAGTTTTATGACAAGTATTGACCACCGCGCTACCTCAATGCGTGTCAACACATGTCCTCAAATTATTTTGTTTCGTAGACATGACGGTTTGGATGTTTACCTTTACCACCAAGCATGTGGTTAATCAGCAGTTGAAATTGAAATTAACAATTTAGTTATTGCTGACGGGAATCTAACATGTGTAGTTTGCTATACCAATCCTAAAATTGCAGTGCAATGAGTCAATGGTTTTTATTTCAGGGCATGCACTTCTTCCCCATACTGTTAACGATGGTCTTGCTTGCCGGGAGTTCACAGGATTGGGTCCTAGAAGCTACAAATGTCTGGATTACTCGTTCTGTCTATCACAGGACCAAATGTGCGATGGTATTAAGGACTGTAGGGATGGCAGTGATGAGGGAACGTTTTGTGATAAGTGTAAGTAGCCCACTTTGCCGCTAAATATAAAGGTGTGATTTTCCTGCGGCAACTGTTGTTTGGTTTCATTAATCTTATCTTCATTTTTTCTTTTTTTTTACTTAAGCCAATGCTTGACTATAATCCCATCTGATGGGTCAAGGAAAATGGATCTAAAGTATACTAGCTAATAATGCATGCATTGAGCAGTAGTATATATAAAGTAAGTAGTAGTTAAGGAAAAAAAATTAATTGTAGTGTACAGAACAACAGAAATTGATAACAGATGTAAAATATTATGTAGTAATAATTTCAAAAAATTTATAATGAGGAGATGATAGATTTCGTAGAAATATTTAATAAGACAGGACTGTAGCATAATGTAGTTGTAGAAACAATAGGTATTAATTAGTAGTAATATTGTAGTAAAACTGTAGATTCTCATGGTCTTAATAAGTAAGTAAGTTTTTCTGTTGTTAAGAAAGAAAGAAATATATTTTGGTACATTTTTTACAGTATTAAGGGTCCAACTTGCTCGATAAAAGTTTAATGTTACATTTTTAAACTTTTTTAAATTTTTATGTATTTATTTTTATCAAACCGTAATAGGTACTGAAAAAAAAGTAGGTATGGTAGGCATATTGTTAGGCTATACAAAACAAAAAAAAAATTAAAATCGGTCCTCATTTGCTGATGCAGCATCAAAAATATATGATGCAAAGGGTGATTTTTCTGGATAATTTATAAATCATCTTTATCTTTTAAACCACGCAATTTGGGAATAGTACTTAATTTTTTGAACAGTTCTTCCATGGTCTACAACCCCCTTTCGTTTGGATTGTTACGTTCTGGGACACCTTGTATATGAAAAAAGGACATAAACAAATAAACCATAAACGAAATCAAAGGTGCTGTAAAAGAAATAACAGCAGATGATATGTGGTGATGCAGCGGAAGATTTTAAATCTTAGCTTAACAAAAAGCAAGTTATTCTTGCCTTAAATACATTCAGAAAATTTCCAAGCTTTTCAGATAAAATATAGCCCAGATCACTCCTGGCATTTTTTTCTATCCATTGAGTTATATGTACTACGTACTAAAGAAGCTATTCCAAACAAAAAATGTTGCACTACTCTGTATCCGTATATGCGCGGGAAACAGTAGATTCGAGCATTCGCAGTTGATATAAACGCACGAAAATAGTCATAATAAATAATTGTTTATGTAGCTTGTATTGTTAATCGAGTACATTATTTTTAATTTTCGTTTATTTTGCATATGTGCTAATTTAATATAAAATTATTATTATCGCCGCTCCGTACTGCATGAATATCGAAGCCACAATAACAGGTGTACGGATTGCAGTACAGTTCAGTTGAACATAGTGAGTGTACGGAATGCCATATCTAGTGCGTAGTACGTATATATCGATGTTTCTATCCATTTGTCAAATTTCATTATAAACAGTTCAGCGATTCTGTAGATTAGCCCGGACATAGAGACAGACATACTGACAAAAACATTCTATAAATGTTTATTCATCACTATATGGCATGCAAAATGCAAGTAACCCTCAGTAAAAGGCAGTTGTTTCAATTTTACAGATGAAGTGTCTGTCTGAATCCTTTTATACTTTTAATTTATTTTTCCAGTAATGCCAAACTCCCTTGCATCACATGCTTTAAGGCAATGCATCATCGAAAGGACCCGTATTCATTTGCATTAGAAAGAAAGAAAGAGCATTTATTTGTAGCTACAACACAATACAGGACTAATGACTGAATCTGCATAAGCTGGCAATGGTTAAAAAATCTGTAGCTGCATTGCGGCAGCACTGATATACCGCCGGTACCTTGGGACAATATTTACGAGTAGTTTAAGGCATACGACATACCAATGCAAATCGTTATACTGACATTAAATAAATAGACCAAGATAATGTCTAAAACTGAATTTCAGTCGCGGCGACCAGTCTCAACGGAGACTAGTCATCTGCACTGAACAGGTTTGTAATGCCCGAGTGCGTGCGTAAGCCCTGTTCATTTCCCGGCAATCCGACGCGTTTTGAGGAGATCAGCTGCAGCACTAATGGCTTTACGTGCTTTTCGTGGCACGGGGGTGAAACATCGCTAACTTCATGATTTTGAGCTGCTAGTAAAACTATCTTGGCAGAAAAACCCAGTAACTGGTTTTTACCTGACCCGGTATTCTAACCCGAGACCACACATGATCAGCAATCGCGCTAGATAGCTAGATTAAGATAGGCAGCCAAAGGAGATTGAAAAGAACACGTAAGCTAAATTACGAATACTTTCAGGGCACACAATGTGTTCGAACTTCACGTGTGGTGGCAACAACACCGCCTGTAGTCCAGAGCGTGACGGCCCGGTTTGTGTCTGCTTGGTGTCCAACTCTTTGCAGCAGTATAACTACACAACGCATCAGTGCGAGGTAACTCCATCCGCATGGACGGTGACTTATTCTATAGTTTGTCGTCTTATAGTATATTTTTGTTTACTTTTTATGATACTTCATCCAAAACTAATCCAATGATATTCATTATAATTTAAAAATTAATAGATATTGGTTGAAACTAAATTAAACATAGAGTATATTAAAAAACAAGCTATATAGGCATTGTTAGTCCAGCATCCAGGTACATACATCAGACCACTTCTATGGTGTTATATAACTGTATTGTCATAGTATTGTTACGCGCTCAAGTCGACAGGATCATCGTTCCCATCGCATCAGGGAGGTTACAGCAGTTACGGTTCGCGACCACAGTAAAATATACAGCCCTAGGTGCTATGGCTGTGGGGAAAGGGGCCATCTTCGGTCTGGCTGCCCTAAGCACACCCTAGGAAGGGAAGGTGAACGGTCTCAGAAAGGAAGTGCGGCTAACAGCACCGCCCAGCAGCAGCAGGAATACGACTTTACTATCCGACACTGCAGCGGGAAATCTCATGGCAACGCAGATGCATCGTCAAGAAGACCTTGTCCTGAAGATTGCAACCATTGTAGTAGGCAAGAGAGTAAAGAAGTGGTATCCGTGAGGATGCTCAGGACAGACCACCTCAGCAACGGGTGGAAGGACAGCCTACGACATGCACAACAGGAAGATCCAGACATCAAGCCGATTCTGGGATGGATGAAGGCCCGTGCTACCAAGCCTAAGTGGAGGGACGTCGCAGCGATGAGTTCAACCACGAAAAGCTATTGGGCCCAATGGGACAGCTTGCTGCTTCAGGATGGAGTCCTGTGCCGTAAATGGGACAATGGTCGAGGAGACAGCTGTCGTTGCAAATGGTTGTCCCTAAAGCTAAAGTGCCGAATGTTCTACAGCTGTGCCATAATGGTCGTTCAAGAGTCCATCTGGGAGTTAAACGAACTCTACTGAAGGTCCGAGAACAGTTTTACTGGGTCCATTATCGTGACGATGTCGAGGATTGGTGTCGTACATGTACAAGTTGTGCGGCCGTGCGGGGACCTCAGACACGTAGTAGAGGAGCACCGAAATTGTACAATGTTGGTGCACCACGGGATAGGACAGCCCTTGACATTGCGGAGCCGTTACAGAAAGGCGCAAGAGGGACTCCTAAGATCGTCCATGTGGATCGCTTGGCGCGTTATTATGGGGCCGATAATGCTCGGGACGAGCATGTCTTAGGAGGGGGCAGTGTTACGCGCTCAAGTCGACGATACACTAGCGCCATCTAGTGTCAGGAACGAGAGCGAGGGGAGCTTTGCAGAAAATGACATCACAAATCTCTCAGCCGACAGCGCCATCCGAAGAACTAAGTTCCTAGAAAATCTATACTCGCACACTCGTCCCTTTGCGCGCATTTACTTGAATATTCCAGATGCTTCTTTGCTAATTTAAATAAATAGGCGCTGAAAGATGCGATCGAGGTAGTATTGAATTGGCGATACGAGCGAAGCTTCGGAGCGGAATTAAGTGAATTAGTGTGTTTAATTATTAGTGTTTTAAGTTTTAATTTGTGTAAAGTAAATTAAAGTGTTAATTTAGGTAATTTTATCGGCAATTTTTATTGTCACGAACCTCAAGCTCGTAACAGTATTATGCCAAAATATTTGGTGCTCTTTATCCATTAATTTGTTTATTGTGTTGACCTATATAAAAAGGTATGTAAACGGCCTATTCACGCAATGTATTTGTTTTGTATAGATGGTGGTACATAGCTTTGCTAGGATCTGATAGGTGGTGCTGTAATCAAGTTACGAACACATTTATGCACAAAAAAGACATAAAATAATGTAGGCTTAGTTTCAAAAAAGAAAATCAAAAACAACTACAGCTTTACAGCTAGGAGTCCATCTGGATGGCACTGGAACACCTGCATACTTATCTATACCACCAAATAGCATTGCTCGCACTGATTTTTAATGACAGACTACAATTACGGGCAGTGAGGCTTTTGATCTTAGTCCTCAGAGGTGATAACGTGTCTGAAAGCCTTCTTCGTTTAAAGTTGTCCGCAGATGTCCATGGGCTGCAGAAGCCACTTACCAGCAGATGGACTGTAAATTCATTTGTCACATTAATTTTGTCGTAACATAGAATCACTAAATAACTTTGAAGTGAAAAGCAAAATTACAGACTGAGCCTTCTTTCTTTGTACATGTAAACAACACACGCTAATACAGACCTACGCACGCACACACGCACTCACTCACTCACTCACTCACTCACTCACTCACTCACTCACTCACTCATACACACACACACACACACACACACACACACGCGCGCGCGCACGCACGCGCGCACGCACGCATCACGCACGCAAGCACGCACGTACGTACGTACGCATTTTTGCAACAGTGTCAACATTACATTTGTTTTCTTTTATTCTCCTTTTTTATTGTCATAAATTTTACGTTTTAAATAATACTTGTTAATATTATATAATATAATACATAGATAAACAAATTATAGTAATAGAACTAAGAATAGGGAAGAAAACTAGCCCCTGAAATACAGATTATTACATCCTAGTTTAGGGGCTAATGACCACTGTAAATTTTGTGCATGTAATATTTTATGGTCGTAAAAGAAGCGAAGGTGTGTCACGATCGTGCCAAATGGAAGTCCGTTTTGCAACTCTAGGTAACGAGCGTGGGGGTTTTTACCAAGAAATATAATCTACTTTCTGACGGGACCTTATCAGTATTTTAAAAAATTGCTATCTGCAGGACGTGAACGACTGCCAACAAGCCAGGCCGCAGTGTTCGCATTCGTGCGAGAACAAAAATGGACACTTCGTGTGCCAGTGCGACCACGGCTACGTGAAGGACGCACTGGGCTATCTCTGCTACGCACCAGGTAAATCTTTTTCTCTATTATTAGCCCATCAACAGTTCAATCGTATTAACTTTTACGGAAGCGATAAAACTCAGTTTTCACGTGAATAATAATCTCAAGAGGGATAAAAGCTTTTTAAAATTAAAAATACTTCTAAATTTATTAATTAAACATTACAATAATTAAACAACATTACAATATGAAAAAAAAATGAAAATAAAAATGTTTTATTAACAGAAATATATATATATATATATACATATACAATATATATATATATATATATATATATATATATATATATATATATAATAGGTAATATCTGCTGGTTTCCTCACTAAGCAAGCCTGTATCGAGGAAACTTGAGACCAAAGTTCACTACGCATTATTTTATACATCTTATCAGACAATCTGTCTTAATATACCTACATAAAACAGCAATAAAAGAACTGCTTAATGCTCATAATCTAAAAACATAAAAAGAAGAAAGAAACCTTTAACAACCAAGCCAGGTTTTATATAACTGGAATGTATTAACTATATATGTATTTACATTTAAAAAGAAAAAGAAAATTAAATTAAAACAACAACAATATTTACCTAAAAATTTCACAAATACCATCAATTATCAAAAGTCAGTTTTTAACAATCCTGTTTCCTCATATGATAGGGTGACCAACCATTTCATTGTTATTAATTTTGCGGATGAAATTTTTTTATTTATAATATTACAGTGTTTGACGACTTTATTATAAATTCGTCTTTTGATGAAGTCGCCAGAACGTTGCGCAAACTTCGTATTGACAGAACGTCATGACAGGGTATACAAACTATCAGTTTGTATACCCTGCGATTTTTCAGTAGTTTGTGGTCATTTGAAGATAATATGTATTTATGTACTGCTAAAGACGTATTCAGCACAAAGAGTTGACGCACAGTAAGTACTCCGGCATCTATATATGAGATATAACTAAAGTCTGATCGTTCTAGCTTCTCGAGTCCCAATTCCCAACGCAGCCTGTTGGAAGAATTGCGTTGCTGAATTGCGGCGTGACGTCGTAGCTCATGAACAAAACAATGGAATCATGAGGCCGCGGCGTCGCTAATGGATAAGCTGCAATAAGGCTGCATCCGTTATAGAGTGTACATAACGCCTACTAGTACTTAGCCTCTGAGTTACCACGAAAAATTATTATTATATTGTGTTTTATTACATATAATATGGTAAGTGAGGCTAATGTGGTCATCAGGTTAATGTGGTCACTTTCTTATAACTTAAAAACTACAGCCTTGTTTACACACATAGCTTTATGATACGACAGCTCTTCATAGGTCAATCAAATAACAAAGGGTCAAAAGGGCGCTGCTTTATCAATGCCATTTTGACAGCTGAAATTACCTATAGTCAACCTATAGTAAATATTTTAGTCGATTTTAGTATGATAGTGTAGTTAGTTCTTTTTAAGTAGGTTATACGAAGTGTTCCTAATTATTGCCAAAGTTTGTTTTTTTTCTTTCATAATATATTTTCTTAGTATACGACTTTGTGTTTTTCTATGTCATCATCGTAGTTTTGGTTTTAAAGGGCGGTAAAGCTTAAGGTAGCCATCATAGAATACTATAATATACAATAGAATGGCTGTCAACTTTATTTTGTACGAGGAAGGGCGTCGCCAAACCCGATTCGCTGTGTTGACAGACTGAGTAAATTTACACATTTTAGACTTTTGATTAATGTTCAATATCATCATTTAAAAAAATCGTTTAAATTTTAATACATATTTATATGTAAATAGGTTGCAATTTGACATTTTCTTAATAATTTGCATGCGAAATTTGGAAACGATTGTAACGTCAAAACACATCTCGTGTTGACATTTATACGTGTGAATTGAAGTGTTAGTGAGATTTTAGTGGCTACACGGGCTCCGCCAACTTTCCTGTTCTATTATGTATGTATTATAGTATTCTATAATATTCATATTACCCTCACATACCTTATTTGTGAAAATTAGAAGCCATTTTATCTTTAACAGGACCAGAAGCGTTGCTGTTCTTCAGCACGCGCAATGACATCAGATACGTCACAATAAAGTCGAAGCAGCAAGTCACCATTATTTCTGAAATTAAACAGGTAAAATATTTTTTTAATTATTGGCTAATTAATAAAAATATACACAAATAAAATTGAAGTGTCTGTTTGTTATGTGAAATAACAGCTTTTACTAAATTTATATGAAAGTATACGGTAATCATAACAAAAAAAAATTTTGAAATTTTTATCAGTCTGTTTGTTCCGGCTAATCTCCGAAATAGCTGTACCGATTTCGACGTGAATTTCACTAGCAGATAGCTGAAGCTGCTGTTCATTAAAATGACTATTTCCAAGACATTTTGTATAAAAGGTATATTAAAATCGAATATCAATGGAAACTTTATTAAATAAGCTATCAGATTATGTATAACTTGAATACAGGTTTACTTCGAAAGTGATACTAATTTGAAAATGAAAATAAGAAAAGTGTTTTTTCCCAAATTTCCGCAAGGTGTGATAATTATAAATTAAATCCTTTATTCCAAGTTCTATTTGTTTTACTTGTACGTCCAAAGCATATTTAATTATAAAAAAAATTTTTGTTTACGACAAGGTCGAGAAAGGCCTCACTTAGCTCTTCTCGACATCGGGACAAAAAATAAGGAGGTTCACAAAAAAAAAAACACATTATTAAATCAAATTTAGACAAAACCAATCTTTCAGATATATATGTTATATATATATATATATCATATATATGTTACAAATAGTTTGCTATCACTCGACGCCATATTATGGCGTTTGACAGATGCGCTGAACCCACACAAAAAAACAACACGGGGAACAGCTTGTTATTAAAAGTTAGAATCCTGTACCATTATTTATATTTTATTTACTTAGTAGTCTAAAATTACCTCTAGTCGAAAAGTTAATGTTAAAAATAAAAATAACGGCGTATATACAGATGCACGCGTCCCACAGCTTCTGTAGCTCAGGGCTAGCTCCAATTAAATAAACATGCGTCTTTAAGAAATACATATTAATTGATCAAAATCCTCTCAGAAGACCTGTGCTTTACATGGGTTTCACTGTGGATACACAGATCTAATAACTTTCCTGGAAGCTTTCTGGAGCAGGGAAGTGTCCGACACGCTGATCCAGTGAGTATTATAGCACTTCACGTGTGTTTGAATAATTTTCATTCTGCGGACATACAGGTTTCCTCACGATGTTTTCTTTCACCACCGAACAGGTGGAAAATCAGCGCTTAATATTTTTTGTTTATTAACAATTTGACTGGCGCTGACGGTGATTGTACTCAATTTGCTTGGGAACTGTGAAATTTTAAATCGAGCGCTTAGCTGAATTATGACGGCTCTAATAAAATCTTTTCTTTTTTCTTTTTACCGGAATAATAAAAACATTATTGGTATTATCTATGAATTTAGGCTCACGGCGTTTCTTACGACGGCAGACATTTGTACTGGGTGGAGACAGAGCAAGGCCACCAGTCTATAGTCAGGGCTCAGCTGGACAACATACACAATTCTAAGCAAGTAAGTTGTTTTTTTTTACGGCAACAGAAATACGTCCGATAAGTGCCCTGGTAATATAAGGCACCGATAGAATAACAGCGCTGAGGCCGTGGAAACACGGCTACGCAAAGACATTTAAGTAGTAGAATATTTAAATCTCTGCTGCTATGGCATCACACTAAGTATTCGTTGCTGCTACGTAATGTATTTGTGTATAATGTTTTTTTTTTGTTTGATTTGTAGTTGTGATTTCATTATGTGCTTTGTGTTGTGTGTGATGAATAAATCATTTATTATTTCATTTCCTCATCATCCTCATTATATTAGGTTAGAACCCGTTGCACAGTTTAAGAATTTTAGACTTACTGTCATTGAGAATCAGAAAGATGATTCAGATATTAAGAGAGAGCGTCGGGTATGGACTGTGAAAGTAAAAGAGGGTCACGTTGACAGAAGTTTTACACGAGTTGTTTGTGGACCTCTTTCTATTTCTATGGAATAAAATATCCTTTCCGTTGTATAAAACACTAATATTCCAAAGGCCCCCAAACGTCGTTTGTACTAAACTTGGCCTTCTTTTCACAATTTCTCGCTTTGAACTATCGACACTCCTCTTCCCTCGCGGCACCACCACCACCGCATCATCAGTGCGTCCCCGCAAGTGTCGCGGGGAATAGGGTGAATGACGCATTGCCATACCAACACTCCTTTTACCTTACGATTCGTAGTAAGTAAGTTCGAAATGGGGAGAGAAGACGCCCCTTGCGACGCAGTCAGTCAAACACACATTTGAAGTGCAACGCAAGCTATGTAGGTTCCACTTAATTCACCGTGAATGACCGAGCCACGGCTACTAAGTCCTCACTCCACGGCTACTAAGTCCCCACTCCACGGCAAGGTGGTAGACATGTGTCAATCATGCATGATTCGTTCGTTTGAGCTGGTACACTTAAAAGTATTGATGGTTCATTCATTTGTTTTTGAATGTACCAGTACAACCAATCACAAACAATTGACGGTACGTTTTTAACCCGCGATTTGTTTGAATTGTGAATGAGCCGCAAACCGACCGAATCCCGAATGATCTGAATAAACAGGCGAATTGAATTAACAGTGCAGACTGCAGAGCATGGAGTAGAGTAGAGTAATATATACACAGAACACCATTACTCCTAGCGGAGAATATATAGGGAAACTGCAGAGTAACAGGAGTATTTATTATTTAAGGGTTTTTTTATTATAATATTGTTACCTAAATTAAAAACTATTTTACGTTTTCTTATATTTATTTGTTAAATCTATGAGTTAAAAATATAATTCCTTAGAGTTTACTAAAAATAACACTTCAAAAGATTTCATGATAAATGATTTATTTAAAGATAATTTTCAACCATCTTATATAAGTATAAGTTAGGTAAAAGTTTAATTTCGTAGCAAATAAATGTTACAGTCCCTATTTTTAGACATGTAAAGTAAGATGAAATTGTGTATTGTTAGATTATTAGGAATGAAATTTAAGAATAAACAAATTTATTAAATACTTAAAATATACGATAACTTGAGGTTTTTGTGTTTGTCATCTAGCGTCGATTGTTCTTACCACCTTGAAAGTTAATAAGTTTTAGTTCGATAAAATAACTTTATTACCTATAACATGTAGTAGATGGCGCTATTACAAATCTCAAATAGAAAATTTTCGGTTCTCAATGGATCTCACAGACTCACAGAGTACTGGAGCCTGAAATGATCCATTTGAATGATCGATCCGAATGTACCAGTACGCGTTATGAAATGTACTAGAATGATTCGGTCGCTAGTAATGAGTGATTTACACATGTCTACAAGGTGGGAGACTGTTCTGGGAGGGGCGGGGGGGGGGTGAGGGTTGTCGTTTAGCATCTTTTTAACGTCTAATACGGGAATGTAAGTGTATGTAACACATTCACTCACATTCCCGCATTAGAATTCTGTGTCGTGGGGAAGACGTAGACACAAAAATTAGCACACTGCGAATATCCAACATCGGAGAACAAACATTTAAGCTCATCCGTGGGTCATCACGCTTCGTAGGCGGGCTCATTATCAACTTAACTAACGGTGCCGTCAAAAAAAGACCAAAAATGTATCATCTTAGAGTGTAAGCTATACCGGCTCTCACTCGGAGAGATCTCTCTGAGCTACCGCAACAAAATAGGAATAGAAAATAAAGCAACTTATTTCCCTATCAGGTATTAGTAGGGTTGGGCTTGGAGGAGCCCGGCGACATCGGCGTGGACTGGCTGGGCGGGAACATCTACTTCAGCGACGCGGAGCGCGGGAACATATTCGTGTGCCACGACGACGGCTCCTTTTGCGCCACCATACACACGGAGACCAGTCATCCCAAATTCCTCACATTGGATGTGAAGCACGGGTTAGTATAGTATCTTTTACATGGGGCGTTCATGAATAATAATAATGTCCTCCAGACCGATTTTCGGTCACGGAGGCCATTCTCAATGAACACTAGCCGTCTGCACTGGACAGGATTATAGTGCCCAGGTGCACTTTCTATTCCCTCACTCTTATAGTCCGATGGCACGGCAAACCGACACGATCGGAGAGAGATCAGGCGCAGGATCAACGATTTTATTTGCTTTCTGAGTGTTTCACAGCCGTTCATTCATTACATGAGCTTAAAATTGATTGGTTCGGCAAAATATCACTAATTCTCATTTTAAGGGAAAGGTGAATTGAGAAAATATCACGTCAACTTTAACACGAAGAATAATCATTTTACAACGCTTAAAATATTGCATTACAAAATCAAAATAAATATTCAATATATTATTTTCTAAGTCTTGGATTCCCTAATTGTAAATAAACGGTGCACCACTGTAAAATTTCATTCCAGCAGTTCCCTACCACAACGGTTGGAGTCGGAGGAGATATGTGCATCAATATTGACACTTAAGCAATTAGTGTTATGAAAAGACATAAACATCTTATACGAAATCTCGCTAAGGGGAGATGGATCCAAATTAAAAAAAAATTGCTTACTGTACGAAGGCGCCTCCGTACAGTAAAGTATTTTTTTATACCTCTATGGGGCGTTCCTCAAGTCATAAACATTGGGTAACGCAAACTAATAGACTGGCTGATTGAACAAACTTATTCATACCAACATACCACGGTAATTTCTCCACCATTTAGCAATGAATGTCCAAAACTAAGTATGATATAGACCTTTCTTACCGTTGTCTTGCCGTGTATGTAAACTGAACTGTAAAAATAGAATTGATTTGAAAGTAAGAGGCCTAGATACATCTGTATTTGCGATCATTATGTATGCTTTAACGAAAATAAATAACATAAGTATTACAAAGTATGAAAACTGCAAAATATTTTTTTTGTCATTGTTAATATTCAAAAGTCCGAAGAAGTTAATTTTGAAAAATGCATTTATTTTTTCATAAAATCCTTCGTGCCAAAGTTTGGTAATATTCATGTATTTCATTTAAATATAATGTATTGGCGTGTGCAACGCAGCCAATAAAATGTCGTATTAATAAAAATTTATCGAAATAAAAAAATCTCTCATATTGGAATATACTTTGGTTTTTCAGACTTATGTACTGGGCAGATTGGCACAACCGTGCAGTCATCATGCGGGCTCGGATGGATGGCACACAACCGGAAGTCCTGGTAGACAGCCTTCAAAACTTCGCCACTGGCCTGGCCATAGACGTGCCCAATGACCGCTTGTATTTTGTCGATAAAACTATCAAAGTTGTCAAGATCGACGATAAGAAAGTCTATGTGAGTACTCGGATAATTGTATTTGATTGGATTTGAATAACTGATGCGGAAAAAAAGTTCTCGAGTGGCAGCCTCGTACCGATAGGCGTAGTGTGGAGCGACCCCCCACTAGATGGAGTGACGACCTGGTGGGATATGCAGGAAGTCGATGGATGCAGGTGGCTTAGGACTGTGCTTTGTGGCATTCCTTGGGGGAGGCCAATGTTCAGCAGTGGACTTGTGAAGGGCTGTAATGATGATGATGAAGTTAGGAGCCCACCTAAAGTCCTAATCACTCCTTATCGCTCGCCTTACGTCTGTTATAGTGGACTTACATATCACATGTTGGAACTCCGCCAAGACTCAAAATATTTTATTTTTTAGACATGCAGATTTCGTTACGATGTTTTCGATCACCGCCGAGCACGTAGTAAATCAGTACTAGGGTAAAACAAAAATTGTAAGTTTCATTAAATTACAGGCGTTATCTATGATCATTAATATTCATTACCGTATAGTGGTGATCTCAGAATATCTATTACCCAGTGGCGAAGCTAGAGCTCCAAGCTAGGGCAAGCCCAAGATATAAATTGATAAAAATATAGATTGTTGTTTTTAGCAGTTTTATAAAAATACACCAATCTTGATCTGTCTCCACGCTTCAGTTTCATATTCAGTGCTGTCAAGGACGTGTTTAACAAAGCACACAGAAGGCATACCACTGCTAGATAGATTGTATTACATATCAGCAATTGCATAGCTTCGGTGGCTTTGAAGAAAGCCGTTTGGGTTTGTTTAAGCGAAAGAAAAAAATATTTACATCCAATACAATACATGAACAAAAGTAAAACATGAACAAAGTACGAACAAACTACGTATAAAATTAAAAAAAAAAAACACAAATTATTTACATTCTAATGGATAAGAGATATTATAAGATAAGTGGAATCGTCTCGCTTTCTTATGGAAAGATTTAATCACGTCCACGTAAAATGTTGGTGAACGTTTTAATTGTACCAATAACTGTTTTTTAATTGCGATAATTGATAAGTCTGAAATACACTCTTAACCTTGTGTATTATCTCAATAAAGTTTAAAGATTTCCTCTCCGATTAGCACTTTAACACACTTAAATTCATCACAAGGAACACTATTATCCTCCATTTTCATTAAAAATCTTTAAAAAAGCATAAATTTTGAACTCGTAATATGAAATCGCTTAAGATAAGCACACAGAGTAAATAAACATTAAAACGTGAAATGAACTTGCAAACGTATTGCCCGCGCGCCTCCGCTTTTAACAAATTTATTCCCAAAAGCCTGGCTTTACATCTCCATACTAATTTCTATATATACAATCGTAGTTATATTTCATTATAGAATATTTTGCCATAGATTAGAAAGAGAGCTATCGTCTTCTCGAAAGCTCCGTAAAAAGCCCACACGAGCGAGGGAGACAAATAATCGCTCTATTAAAACTCGTATTTTATGACGGCAGCAGTATCGCTAAGGCAATACGAGGTCATCGGTCGACATGTGTCGAACAGTGGAGTGCGCGGGAAATTTGAAATAGCTTGAAACATTTTACGAGTTATTTTATTAGTTGATATTATTGATTAATATTATTGATTGATTCAGTTTTAATAAGGCAAGCCCGGCTTTTCGGCTTTTATGGAAGCTTCGCCACTGCTATTACCCCATATCATACTCTGGATGTCGTAAGAGTTATTTTTTAAATGGTAACTTTCCTTAAAATATAAAAATAAATTATTAGATAAAACATGGATGAAACATGAAATCGAAGTTTGGCTACACGAAGAAGGTAGCACAACGAAAATTTTGAAGATGATTTTTTTAACGTGGTAGATCTTTATTTTGTGATGTTAGTGCTGTTAGTCTATTTGGATTTTACAGCTGCATCTGATACAGGACTTGCGGACTGAAAAGTCGCGAGCTGTGTTCTGCGCATTGAATAAATTGTATTCTGCAGCTATATAATGGTTGTAGCATGAATCGGTCGGCTTGACCGAGGGAGAAACACACTCTCACAGAATACCAGCGTAAAATAGCTACTCAATGCTACTGTGTTTTGTAGGGTGAGTGTAGAGAACCGGAGACCGGAGAGGAAACAAATCGGGAGATGGACAATAGCGTGTTCCTAATAATGACTAAAAATAAAAATACGTGTTAAAAAACGGCACTCTGTGACTGCCGCGGTAAAGCTATTGCATAGCATTTTTATCAACTTATGCAATTATAATTATTTTTTTTTTATGCAGTTAAGTCTTTGATATTAAATCAAGTTACACTTTTTGAGCGTGGTGACCGATAAGAAAACAATTTTTTTTCTCTTATTGAATAAATGAGAAGTTAATATTGTTTAAAATATTTTTTATATCTTACAATACATGTAGGTTATTCAGGAATTTTTATCATTGAGTTAGCAGCTAGTGTACACGCATACGTCTAGTCGCACGCACACAAACACCGTCCGAAGCAGTGCCGAAGTCTGCCGAACTGAAACGACGTTAGACGATGCACGGCTTTCAACGCCACACCTCCGTGCCCGTCGGAGTGGGGAGCGTGAGGTTTTTTCGTTACGGAATTTCTGGATTCGGTCCCCGCGCTCAAGGCCCGCGATAGAAGCTATGCAATAGCTTAAAAAATAAACTGTGGTTGCCAAGCTGCTTGCCAATAGTAGCAACTAAGTCAAATAAAAATAAACTGTGGTTGCCAAGCCGCTTGCCAATCGTAGCAACTAAGTCAAATAAAAATAAACTGTGGTGGCCAAACCGCTTGCCAATCGTAGCAACTAAGTCAAATAAAAATAAACTGTGGTTGCCAAGCCGCTTGCCAATCGTAGCAACTAAGTCAAATAAAAATAAACTGTGGTTGCCAAGCCGCTTGCCAATCGTAACAACTAAGTCAAATAAAAATAAACTGTGGTTGCCAAGCCGCTTGCCAATCGTAGCAACTAAGTCAAATAAAAATAAACTGTGGTTGCCAAGCCGCTTGCCAATCGTAGCAATTAAGTCAAATAAAAATAAACTGTGGTTGCCAAGCCGCTTGCCAATCGTAGCTACTAAGTCAAATAAAAATAAACTGTGGTTGCCAAGCCGCTTGCCAATCGTAGCAACTAAGTCAAATAAAAATAAACTGTGGTTGCCAAGCCGCTTGCCAATCGTAGCTACTAAGTCAAATAAAAATAAACTGTGGTTGCCAAGCCGCTTGCCAATCGTAGCAACTAAGTCAAATAAAAATAAACTGTGGTTGCCAAGCCGCTTGCCAATCGTAGCAACTAAGTCAAGTAAAAATAAACTGGTTGCCAAGCCGCTTGCCAATCGTAGCAACTAAGTCAAATAAAAATAAACTGGTTGCCAAGCCGCTTGCCAATCGTAGCAACTAAGTCAAATATCGCCTCTAGTGAGGCATTCTTCGTTCGGAAGAGTTCTGCTAGATAGCATTATTCTTTATCATTCATCGGGTTTCACTGCGACAGTCACTGCCATAAGTTCAAACGCGATAGGCCTATGTTCACTAGTGGACTTTTACTGTAACGGTATGGTAACTGTAACGGTGGACTATAGGCTGTAACGGTAACAGTAACTGTAACAATTATATAACTAATTTATTACAAAAAATACTAACCATAAATTGCTATACATGTCATTGTTAAACTTTGTGGTATAAATTAACTACGATTAATATTAACTCAGAAAGCCGAAACCCGCTTTTTTTTCTTACAATATGAGGCCATTAGTAGACCGTTCATTTACTATATTCTATTTCAGTCTTTATTCGAGGAACCGTTCCATCACCCATACGCAATAGCGGTGTTTGAGAACACGGTGTTCTGGAGCGACTGGACATCCAACACTTTGCAAACCACGGACAAGCTACACAGCAGCTCAGAGAAGAGGAACGTACTGTTGTCTTTGGACGGGCCTGTTTTTGGTGAGTTGCACTGCTGCTTGTGTTCTGTTGGGAAGGATTCTGTAGGATTGATACTAACGTAACCGAGCTCCTACCGTGTAGTAGCGGTGGTACTATATCAATTACCCCAATCAGTCCCGTAGGTGTCGTAAGAGGTGACAGAGGTAAACAAATATCAAATATTAGAGCGGAAAACGATTTTGCAGCTCATTAAAATGGTAAATTGCCAATTTTACTGGTAACAAGGCATTTTATCTTAGTCCTCTGTATTTTGGTTCTTAATCTGTATTTTGTACGTGGTAGAGCCATGCTGCAGTTATATTAGAAGTATAGCTGTGGCACGAGTGGGTCGGCTCGACCGGGGAAGGACCACGATCTCACAGAATGCCAGCGTCAAATAGTAGCTTAATGCTGCTGTATTTCGTATGGTGAGTGTAGAGAACCGGAGACCCTTTTTACTGGAAATGAGGCATTCTATCTTAGTCCTCACGGATGATAACGCATCTGCATTTTGATTCGTAATCGAGGATAGATGTAGATGTCTATGGGCCGCAGCAACCACTTACCATCAGGTGGACTGTGTGCTCGTTTGTCACCCTATCCTATAAAAAAATCAAGGATTGATGTAGTTGTCTATGGGCAACAGCACCCAACTTATTATCGAGCGAACTGTGTTTTCGTTTCAAAACAAAGCCAACTCATATTATAGCAGGTATTAATATTAGTAATTTATGCATTGCATGATAATAATATAGTTTGTCATCTCAGACACCTTTCCTTTACGTGTGCTTGTGTTACTTATGGGAATCATAATCAAATGTTTCACAGTAATAATAGCTCTTTTTAAATACCTTTCAAACAAGTGCACTGCTTCTTTATAACAAAAGTACGCAAGAGCCGGACTCCGCTCAATAAATGGTTTAATAATTTGGTAATGAACTGGTACACAATTCACCTGATGGTAAGTGAATACTGTGGCCCATAGACATCTACATCTATCCTCGATTAAGAATTAAAATACAGACAGATGCAATGCTATATAAACAGTTAAAATAATTCGGTTCTTGTAACTTACACTGGCATATTTCGCTGATATCATATGTGGGCATCGCTCTTCACCTATCGAACAAACACATTTGTACCGCAACCATAGTACACTGTGGCTGTTGTGTGGCGGCTGTAGCACTACAATGTGGCTCTATCATATTCCTTCTAAAGTTCTAGGCAGTAGGACTTTTTCAAAGATTCTCTGCCTAGAAGTCTCATCTGGGCAGGTCATCTATTTCTTCCGTCAAATAGCAGTGCTTGCTGTGTTCGGATCTGAAGGGTATTTAGAGACAGTATGGTTACAGGCTGTGAGGCATTCAGTCTTAGTCCTCAGAGGTGACAACGCTTCTGTAGAGTTCCTTATTTGATTTTGGCTGCAGGAGTCTATGAACTGAAGTGGCCACTTACCATCACTTGGACTATAAGCTCGTTTATTACAATACAATACAATACTCTTTATTGTACACCAACGAAACATAAATATAACAAATAATGAACAAACAATGAAGGAAAGACAAAAGGCGGTGTTATTGCTACATAACAATCTCTTCCAGACAACCCAGAAGAGGAAATTAATAAAAATAAATATAAGATTAACTTTTTTTTATATTACTTTAGTTTTATAAAAAAAGGACGACTAAACTCTGTACATATTTACAGACATGCACCTGTATCATCCATTGATGTTCAACCGCACGTCGAACCCGTGCGAGCACGCGAGCTGTTCACACTTGTGCCTAGTCACTTCTAATGTGACGCATGTCTGCGCCTGTCCCGATGGAATGGAGTTCGTGGCTGGAGTTGGTTGCAAACGTATGTCTTTATTTTTTTTATCAAATTAAGGGTCAGAGCTAACTGAATATTAAAATGCTTGAGCTGTTTACACTGATAAATTAATAAAAAACCAAATTGCAACTGATATAGAGTTGAAAATAGCGTAGCAAAAGATAATTCTCCTTGGTGTGTATTCGCGTAGGTATGCTCTTCGCGGTCACACTCGCGGCTACGAACACGCTCGAACGTATCTGAATATACTGCGAAGTGCATCTATGCTTGTTTCCATTTGCCGCTGCAGAGTTTGATTATAATCAATCGAAACATTGCTAACTGTGTATCGATGGTGTACAAATATACACTTTAGTATGTGCCAAATCGATTGAGAAAACGGACAATGACCTTTCGGTCGTTTAACCAGGGGTTTACAAACCTTCAATATATGGGCACATTTTATATGTAGTACTTTCTTTATTTATAATCATTTTTTTTAATTTTTTTTTATAATGATATATATTATTAAAAAGTTATGTAAAAGATCGCTGTAGAAGAAAAATCATCTATTGTTATTAATTTAACAACAAAAAACATTAATGATTTCTTATATTTACGCGAACACTACACATTGAAATAATACTAGTTTTTACGGAATTTATCGCGTATATTTAACTTTTTAAATACCCGACGTTTCGAACGCTTTACAGCACTATGGTCACGGGCAGGACTGAGATGTTCAACGTCCATATGTCATAGTTAACCGCGGTTACCATAGATTAAAATTTAACTTTTTGTTCCGATCTACGCAGTATGAACTTATGGTATCTTGAAGTCTTGCAGTTGTATGCTTGGGTTGGGATTTAATTTTATTTATTATAGGATCCCAAGCAGATGGTAGCACCCAGCCATCTTCTCTATTGAAATTAGGATGTTTTTTGATTTCAATAGCCTCGCGAATCATCCTTGAAAGGAATCGGTGTTCTTTAGCGAGGATCTGCGGTCTATCAAATCTGATGTAGTGACGGGGCGATCCTGTACGTGTTCACAGACTGCAGACTTCCCGGAGTGTTGATTCTTCACATCAGCTATATGTTCTTTAACGCGGGTTTTTATTGATCTTTTAGTTTGTCCTATGTAGGAGAGACCACATTCACAATCAAGCTTGTACACTCCTGCATCTTGCAGAGGGACATTACACTTGTGAAAATGTACAACCAAATATTCACTATTTAGCACTATCAGATCATGAAACTTGTCAAACAATAACTTTTCAGGCAAACACAAATAAAATTCATATTAGGAAATCGTTTTGGTTTGAGGAAAAAAGAGACATTAGTAGTGAAAACGTGAAAAAATTTCTGTCCTATATTTCGACCCTATCATTTTCTGATGTATATGAGACTGAAGATACTAATTTGGCTTTCAACTGCTTTCATGACACTCTTACCCTGTTTTATAATTTGTGTTTCCCTAAAATTATCGTAAAAGTAACAAATAAATCTATTAAAAGTAAGTGGATTACACGGGGTATTAAAAAATGTAGCATTAATAAAAGACGTTTGTATTTGAAATATCGTCTTTCGACAGCAAACAAAAAGAGAAATTGGAATATATATTACAAATATACAAACATTTTAAGAAAATGCATTATGCAAGCCCAAAAACTGGACAATACACGCTACCTACTTAATTCTAACAACAAAAGTAAGGCAGCTTGGCGAATAATAAAAAACGTTAATAGTGATATGGCAGTTATGAATGACATTACTACAATAACCTCTAATGGCAAAACATATTATCACCCAGATAAAATAGCGGAAGTGTTTAACAATTACTTTATAAATTTAAATAATTACATTAAAACACCAAATAAAATAATAACCAATAACGACTATGCGTCTAAATTGACATTTTATCCCAATTCTATATATCTAGTTCCAATACATAACACTGACATTATAAAAATTATTAATTCTTTAAAAAATACAAATTCTACAGGCTATGATGATATTAGTACTAAAATCTTAAAACAATGCTCCAAATATTTGTCTTTTCCACTAACTTACATTATCAATTTATCTTTTGTTCAAGGCATTTTCCCAACTAGACTAAAATTTTCTGTCGTTAAACCACTATACAAGAAAGGTGATAAAACTGACATAAACAATTATAGGTCCATAACACTGATATCTGTTCTATCAAAAGTGTTTGAAAAGGCCATACATACCAGAATCTATAACTTCTTTAACAAACATGAAATATTAAAACCAGAGCAATATGGGTTTACAAAAAGAAAGTCAACCACTTTAGCATGTTTCAACTTAATAAAACTAATAACAACTAGCCTAAACAACAAAACACCTATAACATCCATTTTCATTGATATGTCCAAGGCATTTGACTTCGTTGACCACGAATTATTGTTACACAAACTTAGCAGATATGGTGTAAGAGGCAATGCATTAAAATTAATACAAGATTATTTAAGTCAGCGAAGGCAATGCGTTGAGGTATCAAGTTACTCAGGACGCAATAGAAAAAACTATAGATCACAGTATTTCGAAAATAAATGCGGAGTGCCACAAGGAAGTATACTGGGTCCTTTATTATTTATAATATATATCAACGATCTTTGTAACGTAACTACTCATAAATGTGTGCTATATGCTGATGACATTACCATTAATATTGAAAATAATAATAAATATTTTGACTACGAACATGAAATAAATAGGACCTTAGAAACAATAATAGATTGGTTAAGACATAATAATTTACAAATTAACATCGAAAAAACTAAGATGATAAGATTTCAGACATATAATAGTAAACAAGAACCACTTAAAATAGAATATGGGAAAAACATAATCGAAGAAGTTAACCATACTAACTTTTTAGGTGTAACAATAGACAAGTTCTGTAATTGGAAGACACATATTGATAGCCTATGTAAAAAGTTAGATAAATTTGTCTTTGTTTTATATCGGTTAAGACGAGTGGCTAACATGGAGGCTGCACTCTCTGCCTATCATGGATATGTTTCTTCGATCCTACGTTACGGCTTAATAATATGGGGTAATTCTGTTGATTTAATTAGAGCTTTTCGTGGACAGAAAAAATGTGTACGGTCTTTATGCGGAGCACACCAATTAGATAGTAGTCCTCTTTTTCGCAAACATAAAATATTGCCGCTTCCAGCATTATACATTTACGAAATCTGTATCTTTGTTCACAAAAATAGTAGTTTATTTGAAAAACACAATGATGTTGTAATTAGGACTAGTAGAAATATACATAAATTGTGTGTACCAAAGCAAAGAATACAACTCTACTCAAAAAATGTATATTGTATGGCAATATATGTTTACAACAAATTGCCTGTTTGTTTCAAAGAGATGAATATAGGAATCTTTAAAAGTAAATTGTTTCAATTTCTTTTAAATAAGTGTTATTACTCAGTAAATGACTTCTTAAAAGATAAATTTGACTCGAATAGTGTTTATTGAATTGCTGAATTTAATTTTTTGAAATGTTTTAACTAAAGTATTATGAATTAATTGATGATTGTTTTATATAGATTTGGTTTCCATAAATATTGCGGCAAGTATCTTTATACTATATAATAATTAGTGTCTTAGTTTTCTACTTTATTAGAAAAATTATCTATCTGAAAATATTTGTACGCCGGAAACGGCAGAATATTTAGGATCAAAATTCTTTTGTAACAACAGTAATGTACCATATTCTGACAAATAAAGCATCTTATCTTATCTTATCTTATCTTATCTTTTGACCGATGGTAAAAACTGACCAATCGCGTCAAAAGCGTTCGAAACGTCGGGTATTTAAAAAGTTAAATATACGCGATAAATTCCGTAAAAACTAGTATTATTTCAATGTGTAGTGTTCGCGTACACAGTTGGGAATATCCAAAAGAGCCATGGAGCCGAATTCACATTGATTATGCAGGACCGTTTATGAATCAATATTTCCTTATTGTTGTGGATGCTTATACAAAGTGGTTAGAAGTCATACCAACAACATCTATCACAGCGTTATCAACCATAAATATACTCAAAAAGATATATACTACTTTTGGCCTACCAATCACTCAAGTTTCAGATAATGGTAGACAGTTTCGGTCAGAAGAAATGTTAAAATTTTTAAAAGAAAATGGTATTCAAGCAAAGTTCATTGCACCGTTTCACCCTTCCACAAATGGACAAGCAGAAAGATATGTTCAGACATTCAAAAATAAATTAAAAGCAATGGCTAATGAAGAAGGATCATTACAGGACAAACTACAAAAATTTCTGATGATGTACAGAAAAACACCAAATAGCTCAACTGGATTGAGCCCTGCAGAGATGATGTTTAAGAGATTGTATAGAACAAGGATAGATTTAGTGATAAGAGAAGATACAGGAAAGGAGTGCAAGAATAATAATATAAAAGTAACTAAAGAATTTAACAGAGGAGACAGAGTACAGATCAGAATGTATGATAGCAATAAATGGAAATTCGGAAAGATTATAAGCAGAAGAGGAAAACTACATTATGAGGTAGAGGTAGATGGAAGGATACACCATAGACATGTGGACCAAATCATCAAAACCTTGTGTACTAGTGAAAACCCTTACATACCAGTTACCTATGAGCTAAATTCTAGATATCTGCAAGAAGCCATACCTACAGAAAACAACCCTAAAATAGAGGAAACTCCACAATCTAGTCCTGTACAGATGAAGGATCTGCCGATGCAAGAACAACAGGAACCATAACCGGCGCAACCTACATTGCCTGAAAATTCTACAACTAGCAATAACACACCAGAAATTAGACAACGCCGATTACAAAGAATTAGAAAGAAGCCGGATCGGTTAAACCTGTGAAAGGAAGAAAATAATAAGGTGGGAGAGGCTGTTAGACATTGAGCAAATGACCATAAATAGTAAATATAAAGTGCATATCTATGACGCGACAAAAGGAAGACTCATGTTTTGTTATCTATGCCATATATTCCATTTTAGAAAGTACTCTGTGATTCCATTACTCTACTCCCATTACGTACTAACTCTGTTTTTCATATTAATAAGAAAATTAAGTTTAAATAAATAATTAAGTGTCTTATTAAGTGTAATCCTTATAAATATATTTCACATACACAATAATATCAATATTTAAATATTGTTATCACATCTAAATTGAGAGTAAGTAAGTTATGCCTTTTGACACTCGGCTCATATCTGAGGTCATTGTCCGTTTTTCTCAATCGATTTGGCACTTACTATTGCCCATATCATCCCGTGGGTGTCTTAAAAAGCGATAGAGAACAGGCAGCAGTACTTTTCTGATAACAACACAAAATTATAAAAAACTGCAGTTGCCATCCTGCCAGCCAAGCGTGGTAAGTATGGAAAATTCTCCCTTTGAGGAAATCTATGTGAGGGGACTAAATTTAGCAGTGAATAGGTAAATGGATGAAAAATTTGCTAGTATCACACGTCTTCACTTCCAAAAATTCAAACATGTACCAACGAGAGTAATATATAGTCTGTCGGTAGTAGGGTTTGGGTCCCGGGACGTCTCGTGTCTCGAAGTCCCGGGACTTTTTGTAATTTTAGTTGTCTCGAGTCCCGGAATTTTCAGGTCGAGACTCGAGACGAGACAAGATTGTCGAATTTGTTATGTTATTATTTATATTTTCAAATAATTGAAGGAGCCTAACGCCATCTGTTAGTTAAATTAAAAAAGCAGTTTCAGTTGTTCAAATTTGAAAAATCACAGTAAGTTTGGAACTACTGTACAAAGCCTTAAACGCAATTTAACCGACAAGTTTGAACAACTGAAATTCCTTTTTTTAATTTAACAACCGGAAAAAGCACAGGAAGTTTGGAACTACTTGTAGTGTAGTGACACCTTTCCTATATTACTGTAATAGTGGAGACGAACTGTCCACTATTAACAGACTCCGAGTGGTTTTCTTCAAGGTGGAGAAATGAAACTACTGTTTATGTTTATGAATGTACTGTCGAATGGGATTCGGAATGGAATGTTAATAGCGCGATTTAGGCTTCGGTGTGTTTCGATGTGCTAGTGGCGCGACGACAGCGCCGCTACTTCACCCCCCTGATCAGACCGGAGGTCGATAGTGCAGCCTCGTTACCGACGAATGTGCAAGTGCCAGGAGATTGCCTTGTAGTCTGCGGTGAGTCGAGAGGAAGGCCAGTAATCTGCGAGAGTGCCGTGGAGCAGAGGCGAGCAGTAAGGCTCATAGCCGTGCCGAACACTGTATAGCGCAGAGAGTAGCTTGAAGGAACAGGAAGCATTATTATTCCAGTGCCGCGAGGAACCTTGTGAAGCTAGATGGCTTGCAGGATATGAAGACTGCAGACGATATCTGCTCGGGAGTGAATGGGTGGGGTATTCTATGACGATGATGAAGCTTGAAGTTTCCGAAGGTTGTTTGGTTGCGTGTTCTGATCACGTCGGTTAGTCACCACTGTGACCGTGGTAGGAAAAGGGGAGATCTCCCGCCGGGCAAGGTGTTCTGCCCGGGGAGCGGCCAACACTCCGTGTGATAGTTCGGAGATGTTCTATATATACTGTTTATGATTCGGAATTTTGATAGCGCGATTTAGGCTTCGGTGTGTTTCGATGTGCTAGTGGCGCGACGACAGCGCCGCTACTTTACATACCGTAATATAGGAAAGGTGTCACTGAAGGTGTCAGCCTTAAACATAATTTAACTGACAACTGTAGAAAACGAGAGTGTGTGTTCTCCTCCTTGTCCGGTGGCAGTAAGCAAGGAAGTCTAATTAATGTGTTAGTTAATTATTTGAAACTGAACTATTAAAACTGAAATTAACTTTTAAGTTATTAAGATTTAACTTTCTGTTTAATAAATGTTGATTTTTAAAAAAAATTACCTAACTAAAATCCTTCAAAAATGGCTCAACCCTCTTAAAATTTTTTTTATCTTAAAAGTCGAAGACCCGGGAATTCCCGGGACTTTGATAGTAAACTGTCTCGTGTCCCGGGACTTTGAAATTGTCGAGAATTCCCAAACTCTAGTCGGTAGGGAGTAATAGTGCCCATGAGCGGCGGTAGTCACTTGTCATCAGTCGAGGCGCATGCACCTTTGCCCCCTTTTTATAAAGTCATATGAATAAATACAGCGGACCCGCGGTAATCTGACAAACGTTTTGCAAGTCGGTGTTGGATTATCGAATATGTCGGTCTATAGAGTACTGCCACAGCCCCCTGGTAGTCTGCAATTTGAAAGAGTACCTTGTAATCCGACAGATTACATATCAAATATTTCATTAAATAAAATAATAAAAATGTCATATGATGCACAATGATTACCTAAACAGTAAATAATGAAAGCCCGCTAGGCCGCTACCATAGTTACATCTACTACAGAACTAGCCTATCCGACTTTCACTGGTCTCACATTCAAGCTCGATCTCGTCGGTACTGACCGCGTGGATATTGGAACAAATGTCATCTGACAATGCCTCCGAAACCCGAAAAATGAAAACTGATTCTTTCCACCGATATTGAGATACCCGGTGTTATGATGGTTGACGCACATTCTGTTGGCGCCGGTCTGAAAGTGGTCACTTTCATATCGGCGCCGATTCTGAACTGAAACAATACGCGTCAAGCTAGACTCGTGGCGGCGCGAACTAATTGAAACCTGTTTGTCCACGTATTCGCGAAGGACACCTTTCCCGCGGCGGATTCATAGCGCGATTCGAATCTACCTGCATGTTAAACACATGTTGGATTACAAGAGGGATGTACTAGCCAGGGGCCGGATTACTGGAGGCCCGGTGTAATAATAATTATGCACTCTATATAAAGTTACATATAAATTGGGACATGTAGGCTTTGTGTTTATGTGTGACTTCAGCAAAAAATATTGTGCCTACTGTGTAAGTCGCACAGGTTGTACAATTTTTTTTTATGTAAGCGTAGTCCTAGTCCCGAGTTCCTTGTTGGTCTTTGGACTCTGCCTACCCTCGGGAATAATATTTTCCCTTTAGGCGTCTGTTACGTGCCATGCTGCAGCTATATTATAGTTGTTGCACGAATGGGTTGGCTCGACCGGGGCAAGACCACGCTCTCACAGAATACCAGCGTGAAATAGCAGCTTAATGCTGCTGTGTTTCGTATGATTAGTATAGAGAACTGGAGACCCTTTTTACTGGATTCGAGGCACTCTATCTTAGTATTTAGGGGTGACAACACAGTTGCATTTTGATTCTTAAATGAGGATACATTTGGATCTATATGGGCTACAGCATCCGCTTACCATCAGGTGAACTGTGTGCTCGTTTGTCACCCAATGCTATAAAAAAAGCGTGAAACATGCTTACATTAATTTAGCTTGCTTTAGGTTTTTCAAATATTTAACTTTCAATTAATCTTACAAGACCCTATCGACTATCGTCCGCAATACCTGGTGATCGGCGGCGGAGCTTCGTTTACTCGCATCGAGTACAACACCTTGGGCAACCCTGAGAGCCACGCCACGTACTTCGATATCGGCCGGGTACAGGCGATGGCTTATGACAACGTTAGAGGTAAGTGTCTTTGGCAAAAAAAAAAATTAAAATTAATATCCTTTCTGTAAATCTTTTATGCAGTTGGAATTTTTTAAATTATTATTTTAATCATTGGGCTTACATTATATGTATTCTTGTATATTTTCAAAGTGTGTTTCTAACATTAGAACTGGTTGGTGGAACATACATTTCGTACAATAAATGAATTCTATAATCTTAATAGTTAATACCGTGTTCTTTATTCTTACAAGCATTTTTTTAAATATATTATCTTGTAAGATAATTGTAAATCTATCATCTGTTAAACTTAAATTGTAAAAATGTTATCTGTTAAATGTAAATAGTATATATGTTTAAAATGTAAATTGTAAATCTATCTCCCGTCTGTTGTTGCAACTGTTAATACCTTTTATAATATGATCTTTAACTTGTACACAGTAATGAAATAAATAAATTATTATTATTTTGTGGGGTATCTATATAGTTTCTCATCTGGTTGGGATCTATAAATATATAATTATAAATGAAAATGAAATGTTAAATATGCACAAATATCAATAAAATAAAATAAATACATAAATAATTAAAAGCCCAACCAATTATTATTAAATTCAATCCAATTATTATTATTGTTACTAGATGTATTGTACGTGTACGACGGGCAGCGTAAGAGCATCAACTACATCAGTATGAGCGACTTCAGTTTGGGCCTAACGCATTTGTTTAAAATATGCACAAATATCAATAAAATTTTTATGCACAAATATCAATAAAGTTTTAATGCACAAATATCAATATCAATTTAAAAATATCAATTTAAAAATATGCACAAATATCAATAAATATCAATTTAAAAATATGCACAAATATCAATAAAGTTTTAAATATGCACAAATATCAATAAAATAAAATAAATACATAAATAATTAAAAGCCCAACAATATCAATTTAAATTTAAAAATCAATATCAATTTAAAAATCAATTTAAAAATATGCACAAATATCAATAAAGTTTTAAATATGCACACAATATCAATTTAAAAATATGAACAAATATCAATAAATATCAATTTAAAAATATGCACAAATATCAATAAAGTTTTAAATATGCACAAATATCAATAAAATAAAATAAATACATAAATAATTAAAAGCCCAACAATATCAATTTAAATTTAAAAATCAATATCAATTTAAAAATCAATTTAAAAATATGCACAAATATCAATAAAGTTTTAAATATGCACAAATATCAATAAAATAAAATAAATACATAAATAATTAAAAGCCCAACAATATCAATTTAAATTTAAAAATCAATATCAATTTAAAAATCAATTTAAAAATATGCACAAATATCAATAAAGTTTTAAATATGCACACAATATCAATTTAAAAATATGCACAAATATCAATAAAGTTTTAAATATGCACAAATATCAATAAAATAAAATAAATACATAAATAATTAAAAGCCCAACCAATTATTATTAAATTCAATCCAATTATTATTATTGTTACTAGATGTATTGTACGTGTACGACGGGCAGCGTAAGAGCATCAACTACATCAGTATGAGCGACTTCAGTTTGGGCCTAACGCATTTGTTTATTTACTATGGCTTGGAAAACGTCGTTGATATGGCATACGGTAAGCAAAGTTTCACATTATTGACACAATTTTACATTTGCAAAGAATGTTTTGATGAATATTACGAATTTTTTTTTCAAATAAACATAATTTTATTCTTATTATATAAATTTAAACATGGCACCTGGTGAGGATGGATTTTATTGTTATTATTATTACTTAATAGGCTAGCAGTTGAAACAACTGATGTAAGCCCGTATCCTATTTTCAAATGTGTGATCGTTCTTATTTTAGATGTTTATCTAATTTGTTCTTGAACTGGTTAAAATAGTTTGTGCAGATTTTATTTCTGATGGCAGTTTATTCCATGCTTCAACCACTCTTTGGCTAAAAAACTGCTTGTGTGGGTTGCGGGCGGGTTGGCGATCGCAGATTTTTTTTTAGTTTTTGGGAGGAAGCTGCTGCCGATCTTGATCTTTTGGTTTTTTTTATAGAAAAAGGGTGACAAACGAGCACACAGTCCACCTGATGGTAAGTGGATGCTGTGGCCCATAGACATCTACATCTATCCTCGATTATGAATCAAAATGCTGATGCGTTGTCAGCCTTGAGGACTAAGATGGAATGCCTCGTTTCCAGTAAAAAGGGTCTCCGGTTCTGTACACTCACCATACGAAACACAGCAGCATTAAGCTGCTATTTTACGCTGGTATTCTGTGAGAGCGTGGTCCTTCCCCGGTCGAGCCGACCTATTCGTGCTACAACCATACAATTCATATAGCTGCAGCACGGCTCTACCACGTAAAAGTGGTTTTTTTCCCCTCTGTCTGTGGATATTCTAACAACGTCAGTATACGTTGCTCATGTCACTCATGTGTATAAAATTTAATAAAAGCGTTATCTTGATTCATTTTCTTTCAGATTACGTAACCGACTCGTTGTACATCTTGGACTCCGGTCGCCGCATCATAGAAGTGGTGTCCTTGAGAACCAACCAGACGGCACTGCTGTACCGATTCCGGGACGACGAGATACCCGTTAGTCTGTGTATTATGTCAGATTATGGGTAAGTTTTTTTTTAAATAAAACAATGGTGACAAATGAGCACTTAACAGTTGGGTTGAAATGTTCGTATCGTTTTATAAAAAAACACATTTTTTTGGCAAAATTCGATTTTATTATTCAACATAGTTGCCATCGAGGGCGATACACCGATTATAGCGATCTTCCAACTTTTCAATACCATTTTTGTAGTACGATTTGTGTTTAGCCTCAAAATAGGCCTCTGTTTCGGCGATTACTTCCTCATCGGCTTTAAATTTCTTTCCAGCGAGCATTCTCTTGAGATCTGAGAACAGGAAAAAAGTCGCTGGGGGGCCAAATCTGGAGAATACGGTGGATGCGGAAGCAATTCGAAGCCCAATTCATGCAATTTTGCCATCGTTTTCATCGATTTGTGACACGGCGCATTATCTTGATGAAACAACACTTTCTTCTTCTTCAAATGGGGCCGTTTTTTCGCGATTTCGTCCTTCAAACGCTCCAATAACGCTATATAATAGTCGCTGTTGATGGTTTTTCCCTTTCCAAGATAGTCGATGAAAATTATTCCATGTGCATCCCAAAATACGGACGCCATAACCTTACCGGCCGACTGTTGAGTTTTTCCACGCTTTGGATTCGGTTCATCGCGTGCAGTCCATTCAGATGACTGCCGACTGGACTCCGGAGTGTAGTGGTGGATCCATGTTTCATCGATTGTCACATATCGACGCAAAAATTCACTTCTATTGCGGTTGAACAGCTCCAAACATTGCTCTGAAGCATCGACACGTTCTTGTTCTTGGTCGATTGTGAGCTCGCGCGGCACCCACTTTGCACATAGCTTTCGCATACCCAAGTATTCATGAACGATATGTCCAACACGTTCCTTTGATATCTTTAGAGTGCCAGCTATACAAATCAACCTCAATTTACGATCTTCCAAAATCATTTTGTGGATTTTTTTTATGTTTTCGTCCGTAACAGCCTCTTTTGGACGTCCACTGCGTTCATCGTCTTCGGTGCTCATATGGCCTGTACGGAATTTGGCAAACCACTTACGAATGGTTGCTTCGCCCGGCGCAGAGTCCGGATAACACTCATCAAGCCACTTTTTGGTATCAGCAGCACTTTTTTTCATCAAAAAATAGTGTTTCATTAAAACACGAAATTCCTTTTTTATCCATTTTTTTTCAAAATAACAAAAAGTTGCTTCACTCAAAATGCTGTATCTCACAAACTAATAATAAGACAGCTGTCAAATTTATACACGTTTCTTTTGAAGGTTGGTACTGCCTAAAAATGATATGAATTTTATTCTAGTGGCGCCATCTCATAGAGACGATACGAACTTTTCAGCCCAACCAATAGTCCACCCGACGGTAAGTGGATGCTGTTTATAGATACCCACATTTATCTATTAAGATTGAAAATGAAGATGCGTTTGTCATCAGAGGACTTTGGAAAATGCCTCATTACCATTAAAAGTATTCGGTTCTCTCATGAAGCCCATTATAAGAAACATAAAAGCATTAAGATGTTACCACACCAATCGTTCGATCATCAATCGAGCTGCTTGATTATTTAAGAATTCACCTCCACTCCACCGTCCACTATATAAAATGTCGTCTAGATTAAATAAGCTATCTCTGATCTTAAAAAAACAGTCGCATGCAGTAATAATAATATGAGCAAGGCCGACAATAACGCGTTCTCTTCTGAACTCATTTTGAAAGGTACCGATGATGAGCTCACAACCACATCGATTAAGAGCGCGTCGACCAAATGGAGTGGGCAATAGTTAGGTATTTCAAATAGACTTGCTGGCTGTTTGCTTCGTTACGCACACAGCCACAATTTCCATCGAGCGAGAGCGAGACTGTTTGCAGGTGGCATGTCAAAAGTACGTAACTAAATATTTGAAAAATTTAAGTTCTTGAGTTTCTGTAGTCTAATTTTTTTTAATTTATTTAGTTTATTTCTTATGATATTTAATATAAAATAAAAGTATATTTGAATTTAGATTGTTTTTATTTTCATATTAAACACATCTTAATACAATTTGAAACTAATACAAGTTAATAATGCTAACAAATGTTCATTTGCTTTCTATTTACACAATCTAAGTTTTGTGAACCTTTAAAAAAACATTTATATAGTTGCAACAGAACAGTTTTGTTTCATTTTAATAATATAATCTGTGGCAAAAGGAACAAGAACAATGAAAAAACATTTTCATTCTTAATATGTAGTTTTGACTAAATGCATTATCTTTTATTTCCTCACACTAAGCATTGTAAAATGCTCTTAATTTAATACTCACCTCCCGCACTTACATCGAAAATAACTTATTTGACAATCTTTTGGCGTTTTGATGTGTTATTTACTGTCATTTTCCGTTTCGTTTCTTTTATGTTTAGTGCATCAAGGATATATTTCGGTTCTCGTATTTCCATTTGTCTGTCTAACCGCGAATCAATTATTTCTAGTAGTAAACAATTAAAATAAAACATTTTCAATTTATTCTCCATTTTGCGCCAAAAACCCTCTATATCTTCCTCAATTAATTCAATTTTCATGTCTACTTCAGTCCAAACAGCAAATATGCAAATTTATCGTCGTGTGACGTGCAGTTGGCCTCGTGCCTGATAGTACCAGTCATGTATTTTATTTATAAAAATATTACCATCTTTATCCCGTTTCCAAAAAAATTTTTTTTTCCTCTTATTCCATCGTCAACGCTCATTCCTTTTAGCTGAGTAGGGACATTATATTTCAACGATTTTGTTCTCGTCTACAATCCCATCTGGACTAGCTCCTAAAAATGGCAAATCTGGGTCAACAAATAATCCGCATGTTTTTATGGAAGTTTTTCCAGTTGTTCCCGTGCGATATGTTCATAATTTTTACCATGTTTAATTGACTTGACATGATCTAAATTTTGTTCCATCAAAATAGTTTTTACCAAAGGTCCACATTTTATCATCCCTCGTTTGCACACCTTTCCGAAAATGGATGCCGTAAGCCGCAACTTCCGCTCTTGACGCCATTCAATTGAATCAGCCTGTAAAATTGTTCTTCTTTCTAGCAAGTGGCGATGTTCATCAACGCGACCGAAACAAAGATAAAGTTATGTTTTTCATATGCTCCGTTTTGGCAAAATCAAAATCAGCTTCACTTATATCAGGTTTTTCACAAGATTCGCCATAATTTTTGTCTTTACGATCGTTAGTCAGCTTTTTTGTCGCAAATGACTTATATACTTGTCGCTTTGCTGAGCTCAATCTTTTGATATTTTTTGTCCTTTCCAGACGTTATATTAATTTATTTGGGCTCCGGAGCAAAATTTTTTTACTCAGGTATGTAACTGGCTGTTTTGAATTAAAAGAAACTACCGATGCAGCAGATCGACCGCTATACGACCGCCTGCTCGAGTAGTTTATTCTCTTTCCGCCAATAAACTTGGCTATTACGTTATTAAATATTTCAGCGATATTGCTATTTACATTGTGCATTAGGCTTGTGGCATTGTTTACCAATCTCGTAAGAATTTTCAATATGGCTGTAAATATAAAACCACCTTCATTGCTTTTCATGGCTGGCACTAAATTTTCTTCTATTGACGATTCAGTTAAACTCTTGCAATAGTACGATTTACAAGAGCTATGATTGCCAAAAACGTGGTGTGGCCCGTTTAACAAATCTTGTTTCAGTTTCAGAACTTTTTCAGCAAAAGTTTTATTATCTTGAGCTTTAATGTGTTTCACGGCAGCAGTAACTGAACGTCTTAATCGTAGTAAATTATTTTGGATAGCTTTTCGCTACTTTAATGGGTAGGTTGTATTTTTGGTCAGCTCATCAAGTTTTGTACAATAATTTCTTAATAAATGACTTGTACATTCAATCTTTTTAACCAGTAGATTACCATAAGGTTTTGCTTTTTCAATATTTTTGTGTGTGCTGGCATCACCATCTGCTATCAATTTAAAATATATGAGACCGTGAGTTTCCATTGATGTTTTGAAACCTTCAACTAAAGCTGTTGATTCCATAGCACTTGAAGAACCTGTATAGTTTTTAAAGCATATGTGTTCTGGTACTTGAATTTTTTTATTTTCCGCTCTAGTAGAAACCATACAATATTTGTTTTTGACCGCCATGTAGAGAACTTTCTTTTGTAGCCTATTATAACTGCCGCGCCTGATAAAGCATTGTAGTTTTTCCTATATGATCGTTTGGACCAACAGCCATCAGCAACTACAGTTATCAGCGGAACTCCATTTACATCTACTTCCCCATTGAGAACAGCTAGATGGTGTTCTTCCTTTGCAGCTTCGCTCATGCATTTTTCTTTAGCAGGGTCCCATAGTTGACATACTTTATTATGACATTTTGTGTATAGTTTGTCTGACATACTGGGAATATTAAGGGAGCAGACACTTGTTCTAAACCAGAAAAACCTGTTCCTATTGACATAAAACTAGCCACAGCATCATCATTAATATTGACATCAGCAGGGCTATCAGGTTTTTTACAGTTTATTAATTCTAACTTTTTTCCACACATTCGCCAAACGAAGTAGAATTTTGATATAAACCCTTTCCTGACCTCTTTAGTGAGTCTTAAAAAACTGAAGTCACAACCTAGAGCAGAGTTGTGATTTGAGATATCACGTATTTGGTGCAAAAGGTATTCAAAATCCACTATTCTGTTTCCTTCTACTTTGATATCCTCTTCACGTTCGGTTTCATTTTCTAATATCAGTTCAGAATCTGAATGCTTCTCATGTTGGATTTCATTTTCTACTGTAAGTTCTAGATGTTCCAAGGAATCCTGAAAATTATTAAAAATAAACGTCAGTATTTTTTAACTTCAAACTAAACGGGTGTCTATGGTTTACACTATTGGCGATATAAAATGTTGCGGATGAAATTACTAAACTCTATAAAATCTTTATAATCATTTTAAAATTGATTTATAAACTGACATGAGAAACGTGTAGAACTTGTCGAGACCTCTCATTTGAGACCAAACACTAGGAGTTTATCGCCATTAGTTTACTAAGTATAAAAAAAAACAAAATGACGTGAGAAATGAGTAGGGCTTGTAGAGACCTTTCATTTGAGACTAATCACGAGAAGTCGAGCACCATTGCTTCACAAGTTATAGTCAAAAATAAAGTGATAATAGCCTATTTTTATACAAATTTGGTTTTTTATTCCTGCATTCCTTCCTTCCGGCTACTAGAACGGCCTTGGTACGTATTATAGTAAGCCATATTTTATTACTTAATAACTTTGTTATAAAGCACTTACGTGATTAATTTCTTCGGAATCATTTTGGCTAATTTTGACAGAAGTCTTGTGAGAAATCTTTTTAAACCTAGCACCACCTTTTTTTTTAAATATCTTTCCTTACGCTTCATCAACAAATTATAAAAATTATTATATTTAAAAAAATATCGATATATATTTTCATTATATATATATATATATATATATATATATATATATATATATTGAAATGATAAGTAATAAACAAAAAATTCTAATTAAAAATATTACAAAATAAATTAAATCAGAAAATTGAAAAAAAAAAAATTACTTACTTTACTTTACGCCGTCTGCAGAACAATATAATACGTACGTATGACGTACACAAATAGATCGCGAAATTTGGCTAAGGCACGTCGCTCCGCAAATTGACGTGACCTCTGTCTGAGCTCCCGCGGGCGAATGATTTCCCGAGCGCGTGCGTTCGGATTTATATTCAAATTCGGAGTTCATATATAAAATGTATGGCGAATTTGGGACGCTTTTTTAGAAAATTCATAACTAAATCACAAAGCCAAATATAAAAAATGTAAAACGGACGAATTGTGGTGCATACGTTGTAGATTAATATTAATTCCATGTTTTGAAATAATTAAACTAATTTCGATAAAAATTTAACTAAACGGCAACATACCATTTTTAGGATTTTGTCTAACTTTATGAATTTTTAAAACAGAAACTAAAGATACTTATTTATTTTTGCTTCGGAATAAAGGTAAATACATTCTTAATGATGTTTAATAAATAATTTTTATATTAATTATTGTAACCATAAAGGATAATTTCACTTAACAGTGACTATCGTTTTGAAGTATTTTGCTCGATGGGCTCTGAAATGTCGATTGACGTTGATCGGTATTGAACTACGTTTTATCGAACAGTATCCGTCAATCATCTAATCTTCTAAAGCCACCACACCAATCGATCGATGTCGATCAATGACATCGATCGACGATCGATCGATAAGTATGATAGATGTAGATGTCTATAGGCCGCAGCAATTACTTACCATCAGGTGGATTGTGTGCTCATTTATCACACTATCCTATAAAAAAAAACAATTTCTTTTGTATGTGATACACTTACGCTGCTAGACTGGAGGAGGTCCACTTTCACACAGAATACCAACGTAATACAGAAGTATAACGCTACTGTGTTTCGTATTGGTGATGGTATTTTACTTATGACGTAAATGAGGTAATTAGATATACCGCCAGAGCCGTGGTAGCTCGGATGGTTAACGCTCGCTGTAAATATAACAGAACGCGAGTAACCCGGGTTCGATCACCTCCGGCACCAATGAAATTTTAAGTGCTGATTTACCACGTGCTCGGCGGTGAAGGAAAACATCGTGAGGAAACCTGCATGTCTGAAGAATTAGAAAAAAAAATTCGAAGATATGTGAAGTTCGCCAACACGCTTTGCGGCAGCGCGGCGGACACTTCCTTGCCTTGAAATGAGAGGAGTCCTGTGCCCAGCAGTGGGACGTATATAGGCTGTAACTTTACTTTTACCGCCATTTATCAAAAGCCGTAAGATTGTTTTAGCATTTCTTATAGTCGCGCTTACGGAACGAAATGAATGTTTGATTAATTTCATCCATTCGGATATCTTAAATTGGAAAAATATTTCAAAAATACCATAGATATCAGAAAGATGCGTGGTTAACAACGGGGCTGATACATACATTAATATTTTATAGAATAAGGTTGACGAACACAAAGCTTACCTGATGGTAAGTGGATACCATATGACATAATATATACATATCCTCGATTAGGAATCGAAATCATTAAAGGTAACATAAACAATTTTGATGAAAACTACTTTTACGGATTTTATCGCGTTTTATTTATTTTTAATACCCGACGTTTCGGGTGCTTTCCACTTCAAAACACTGAAGCTGAAGCTGAAGGTACTCCGGGTTAACTTTGACATCGGGACGTCAGTCACCTCAGTCCCCCGTGACCATAGGTGCTGGAAAGCACCCGAAACGTCGGTTATTAAAATTAAATAAAACGCGATAAAATCCGTAAAAGTAGTTTTAATCAATGTATAGTGTTCGCGTAAATATAAGAAATCATTATATAAACAATTTTTTTTTATAGAATAATGGTAACATGGACACACAGTCCACCTTATGGTAAGTGGACGCTAGACGTCTATATAGACATCTACATTTATCCTCGATTAAGAATCAAAACGCAGATGCGTTGTCACCCCTGAGGACTAAGATAGAATACCTCGTTTCCAGTAAAAAAGGGGTCTTTGGATTTCTACACTCACCATACGAAACACAGCAGTATTAAGCTGGTATTCTGTGAGAGCGTGGTCCTTCCCCCGGTGGAGCCGACCCATTCGTGCTACAACCATAATAATGCTGTAGCATGGCTCTACCACGTGTAATTATACGTGGTAGATTGATGATGATATTATTGTAACTTTCGAAAACTGTTGATTTGGGATGGATGATCATTAATGATGCCTTCATATTATGTAGGAGAATGCTGGTAGCTATAGTGGAAAGTGAACAAAGCAGCGAAATCTACGTGGACAGCGTCGGTCTGGATGGAGAAGACAGGAAGCATCTTATATTGAATAATTTAATGGGTAAGTTTATTGAACTTCCATAGCGTGAATTTTCGGTTATTTAACGTCGCCATAAAATTATAAATTTATTTATTTTTGTTTTGGTGTAATTGTTGCTATTTTTATTGCAAAGTAAATGGGTAGTAATTACGAAGTTTGAAATCAAAGCTATAATAGTGAGTTTTTACATATTTTCTTTTGCAAATGTCTGCAATGTTTTGTTATTGTTAATAACAAACGATGCCTTGCAGTGTGCAAATAACGAGATATGTTTTATGAAATTTACTCATTAATTACTACTTATCAAAGTCCTTTTCTGAACACAGACTTCCCCCTTAGATACTTAAGAAGGGATATTTGTTGTACTTGGATATTTGCCAAGCTTGAGCAGGCGTGTTTGCAACCACAGATATTTTTTAATTATTTTATATTTTTTTGTGTGATTATCAAGAAGTTGATGCTGCCAATCTCCTGTTTCAGTTTTCCTCTGACGCCTCTTACGACACCCGCGGGATTGTATGGGATAGTGGATTCTCGTACGATGCTCAAAAATACCGTACGGAAAGCCCAAAGACGTGATGGAGGGCTATATTAGCCCTCCATCACCATCACAGTGCAAGGATCGTGCAAGATGATGTCCATCACAGTGCAAGGATATCAGCTCCGTGCACACTGACCTGTGTCAAAGTTACGCAATCTTATTACGATTGACTCATCTTTCGAAAGGCCTATATCCAGTAGTGGATTATTAAAAGTTTTTTTTTAGCAAAGTTACGTTACCTACACAAGATTTTGTTTTTGTATTGTGGAGGTGTTCTAGATACATAAATTACACATGTACAAACATCTGTACTGGTAATAATAAATTTATAATAATAAATTTATTCCGTACAAATACTTATTCTGTATGGGATTTGAACCAGTGATCCCTCAACACCTTCGTTTAATACAGAGTATTATCGTTTTGTCTTTACAATCATTATCGCTTTATAGTTGACCCGGCAAGCTTATCTTAAACCGATTGTGAACTTATTTCAAAGTGTTGTCTTTTTAAAAAAAATATAAACTTAAATAAAAACCGTCCATTTAAATGGTGTATGGAATCTCATATTGCGGAATTTAGGAATATTTATTACTGTTTTCAACTAAATTTGCAATCGCAGTATGTACCAGACGTCTCACACCTACTTTGTATTTACTCTTACTCTCTTAGAGCCGTGGTAGCTCAGTGGTTAACGCTCGCTGTAAATATAACAGAACGCGAGTAACCCGGGTTCGATCCCCGCCGGCACCAATGAAATTGTTAATTTCAATTTTAAGTGCTGATTTACCACGTGCTCGGCGGTGAAGGAAAACATCGTGAGGAAACCTGCATGTGTGAGGAATAAGAAAAAAAAATATTTCGAAGACATGTGAAGTTCGTCAACACGCATTTGGGCAGCGTGGCGGACATTTCTTTGCCCTAAACCCTCTCAGAAATGAGGGGAGGCCTGAGCCCAGCAGTGGGACGTATATAGGCTGTAACTTTACTTTTTACTTTACTTTTTACTCTCTTAGAGGTGGCATAGCATCTGTGAACTTCTTTGTCCAAGATGGTTGCAAGTGTCCATGGATTGTAGTAACTGAACTGGACAACTGATGGACTGAACAAGCCACAGATCAGGATAGTAACAAGTGCTATCACAGGACATGGCTCTTTTAACAAACATTTGTTCACCATAGGTGTTACTGGATGCCCCCTGTGCAGGGCATGCATGGGAGAGGAAGAAACGGCGGCTTACGTGTTGCTGACATGTCCAGAAGTCGCTTCATACAGGGCTAAACATCTCGGCACGCCGGGATCGCTCCCCCGAAGTTGCTTGCAACATCAATGGACTGTTGAACTTCTTCGGGGAGATATCATGGCTCGAATAACCACATTATTCCTGCCCACACGCAAAATACGCGCTTAGACGTGGAGTTGCAGAAAACAGCCCGTCGTAAACTAAACTAAACTAAACATCCTCTCAGTTTTATAAAAAAAAAAATTCTTTAATATTGTTGCTGCGTCGCTGCTGGTCTGGGTATTTATATCTTCTATATACGAAATGGTTTTGATGTATGTATTCCGATTCCAAATATTTTCAATAAACCGCCTTTACATGTTTTTTCTCGACGTAATGACCATTTTATTCCTGCTCGAAAGGTCCGTACGTGCGATTGCGTTACGCACAAAATATGGACGTGGTGTTCGTTTCTGACGAGGGACTTGGAGTCATCGATTTTGTACATCCTCAAGGTAAATATGAGTACATACTAATAATGTAACTTGTTTCACATTGAAGTAATATGTACTTACAATGACAAGTCATTGCATTTTTAACGTGGTAGCCATGTTGCGATTTTATTGTTTGCTACACGAAACTGTTGACTCGACCGTGGAACGACCACTCTCCTATTGTATACCATAAAATAGCAAGTGTGTGGGTGAGTGAAGAGAACTGGATACCTGTTTAACTGGAATCGAGACATTCCATCTCAGTCTTCAGGGGTGAAAGCACATCTATATTGCAACAAACTCAGAACTTTTTTCTGTGTGAACCGAATTTGATGATTCTTTTTTGTTATCTGAAAGCTGGTGCTTCTTTCAATTCAATTCAAACTCTTTATTCATTAACAATAAATTGTGTACGAATATGACAGCAATGGCCTTATTATATTGCTAAGCTTTAATTTAGTTAAACGAAATAAATTATGACTTATTATGACTTACGGATCAGAGGCGTGGTCCTTCACTGCTGGCCGCATGAGGACGCTCAAAGTCGCTCAGCGAGCTATGGAGAGGGCTATGCTCGGAGTTTCTCTGCGTGATAGACTCAGAAATGAGGATATCCGCAGTAAAACCAGAGTGACCGACATAGCCCAACGGAATTAGTAAGCTGAAGTGGCAATGGGCCGGCCATATAGCTCGAAGAACCGATAACCGATGGGGAAGAAAGGTTCTCGAGTGGCAGCCTCGTACCGGTAGGCGTAGTGTACCCCCCACTAGATGGAGTGACGACCTGGTAAGACATGCAGGAAGTCGATGGATGCAGGTGGCTCAGGACCGTGCTTTGTGGCATTACTTGGGGGAGGCCTATGTTCAGCAGTGGACTTGTGAAGGGCTGTAATGATGATGATGATGATGATGATGAAATAAATTATGTAGATAATCAAACAATTAATTCATTTCATTGTACCTTTCTTATCTATAAAATTATTCCAATTTATATTCATCATAAATGTTCAATAATATATTCTTTACATTATATAATAAAGAAAAATAAAAAAAATCTTGTGTGGTTCACTACAAATTTGTTTAACATCTGATCAGTAGTTTTTGAGTTATCCTTAAATAATACGTATTTAATTGTCTTGGACTACATTGATGATGTTCTCATTTTATTTATATTGAAGTCGGTTGAACAAAATATTCCATTTTACCATTTGTATTCAAATTGTTAGAGCCGTTTCCGAGAAAACAATTATAATTGGTTAATAAACCTGTGGCTATGTTCAGGAACCGGCAGGGAGAATTTCCGAGAGCTATCTACTACCATAGCGAGCCTGGCGGTAACGGATAACTACGTGTTCTGGACGGACAGGCGAACGTCGAAAATATTCTGGTCGGACATTCACGAGGTCACACATAAGATACGGCGAATCGAACTTTGTAAGTAGCTTGTGACTAAGAAATCATTTTTCCGTGTGTTTTCCCTAGCAGACCATAGTAATATACCGCTGGACTGCTCGTGATTCTTCTTCCGAAGAAGATTTGTTTGGTAGTTTCGCAGGTTCACAAATACAAAATATATGAGACGTGGTAGCTTAGAGAGTAAGCGATCGCCCGGACGCGAGCATAACGTTGCGTTCCGGACGGCACCATTGATATCTTGCAGCGGCGGTCAAAAGAAACATGAAAAATCTGCGTTTATGAAAAATTAAAATAATATTTCGAGGTTGTGTGAAGACCGCTATCAAAAATTTTCCGTTTAATTTAATGTGTATAATTAGCTTGAACATATACATCATTAGATAGTATTATTTAATTTGTAGTATTTGTGTAATTATTAGAAATCATGATTATAAAGGTTTATTTAATACTAGTGCCTCGCCCTGACTTTGCCTGTGTGGAATCAGTAAGTGCATAAATGTGGCATTATTTAGATTTGAGATAGTCGAAGAACATTAATTTATTGAATCCATTTTAGTTTTTTTTTAATAAAAAATTAACTTTTTCCGTCAAAAAAAAATAGCCTAGATTACACTTGGCATTATTCTCTAACTGTTTTGAAGTTTCGTTAAATCCTTTTTTGTTATTCTAAGTACTAGCCCGGATAGATAGACAAAATTTTTAAATTAATAATGTTAGTTTATGTTTTAATTGTATGCTAATAACCTCCTCATCACATTATAAGGCGGTTATGTGTGGGATCACGTTAATATAATAAACTAACTGATTTTTTCCCACACCCATTCGCTTCGCTGGGCGCACGATAATATCTTATACGGAACCTATAATAGATGTAAAATATCGAGAAAGGGACTATCGTAAAATCCGTTCTTAGTGAGCGTCTACATTGTGAAATGAGTAATTAATTGTATTACATCTCAAGTCAATCGAGTTTATAGTTCTACAGATCTCGTGATGAGTTAGTCTATTTCGATTATATGTTGGTTGACATTTTTCACTGTTTGGAAAAAAATAGGGTGTAACATGTGAACGGATCAGAAGCTTATGGCACTGATATTTTACAAAAAATAAAAACATTAAAAAAATTTTGAACATTTATTTTGCCTTTTGCTTTTGAATTTGTGACTGCCAAGTGATAAGGTCAAAGATGCCTACTATATTTTTTGTTTTATTGTCGTTTGTATAGTAGAGTAGATATGATTTGAATTTTGATAGATTTTAATTAATTTATTTATTTGATTCAAAACGTTTTTTTTTATTTTTTGTAAAATATTAGTGCCATAGGTTTCTACTCCGTTCACATGTTACACCCTATTTTTTCCAGAAGGTAAAAAAGGTCATCTAGTATAGATAGTAATTAGTATTACTCAGAGTTAATTGAGCAAGTGGATGAGTTTGTGTATTTGGGATGTGTATTGAGCAGGGATGGTAGATATGATAGGGATATAGAACGACGAGTAAATGCAGGGAATAGAGTGAATCGGGCACTACACTCTATTATGAAGAACCAGAATTTGTCAAAACAGGCACGTTTGGTAATTCATAATGCTGTGTTAGTACCTACTTTAATGTATGGTAGTGAAAGCTGGGTGTGGCAGAAGAAGCACGTAAGTAGAATAAATGCTGTAGAAATGGGGTCTTTAAGGAATATGCTAGGGTTGAATCTGAATGACAGGGTGAGAAATTGCGTGATAAGAGATAAATGTGGTATGCAAGATGATGTTGTGACCAGGATTAAGAAAGGAATGCTTCGGTGGTTTGGTCATGTAGAAAGAATGAATGAGGAAAGAGTGACAAAGCAAATTTATATGGCAGATGTGAACGGCCGAGTCGGGAAGGGACGCCCTAGAAAAAAGTTTATCGACCAAATTGGCGATATTTTGAAAATGGGCCACGTTAGAAGTACCCTTAACCGACGAGCATGTATGCGTAGATATATGGATGTAAAGGAGGCGAAAGAGGTATGTCACGATCGTGCCAAATGGAAGTCCGTAGTCTCTGCCTACCCCTCTGGGTGACAGGCGTGAGTGTTTATGTATGTATGTATGTATTACTCTATGTGTTTTTCTCGTTGATATAAGAAACGTTTATTCCAATGATGATTACCCGTTTGCAGCGATATTCCCCATCAACAGTCAGCTACACATCGTGGCGACCACTGCTGCACCGAGCGCCGACAGCCCGCTGCTGCAGCACCCCTGCATCTCGCGCGGCGCCTGCTCGCACGCCTGCGTCCAGCGCCCCCACCCCCCGCCGCACCACGCGCCCAACAACTTCACCATGGACTACCGCTGCCTCTGCCCGCCCGGCCTGCTGCTCAACGGCACGAATTGTACCACAGTCGTCAGCTGCAAGGAGGACGAGTTCTACTGCCATAGAACTAACCACTGCTTTTTGATGAGCCGCAAGTGTGATGGGAAGAAAGACTGCCTTTATGGAGAAGATGAGGAAGGTTGTGATGGTGAGTTTTTTTTTAAATTTTTATTTCATAATGCAGCACACACAACTCTATTTTCTACTAAACGTATTAACTACGCACCAGGTATTAGGTACACACGCAATGGGTACACACGCAAACATAGAGAGTCGTCGTCGAGTCGTAAATCCTAACATACTCGTGCGTGATGTAACTACTTTTCAACCGACTTCAAAAAAAACCGGCCAAGAGCGTGTCGGGCCACGCTCAGTGTAGGGTTCCGTAGTTTCCCGTCCGTCACAATAAGTGTTCCCACTTATGAGTTTAAAGGTGGGTATCCATTATGTTCGCGCTCCAGCAGCGCTCCGCGCTCCTGCAACTGCTCCCGGTAGTGGGTACTGTTGTTTCCATCCAAGTTCAAAATAATTTTCCTAGAAAGTCCTTATAAAGTTCTACTTTTCAGATTTTTTTCATATTTTCTAAACTTATGGTTCAGACGTTAGAGGGGAGGGGGGACACATTGTTTTTTACTTTTGGAGCGATTATTTCCGAAATTATTGACATTATCAAAAAAATGATTTTAGTAAACCCCTTAAATACCTTTCCAACAATATATCACACGTTAGAGTTGAAATTAAAAAAAAATCACTTCCCACTTTACATATAGGGGGGCTACCCTAATAAAACATTTTTTTCCAATTTTTATTTTACCACTTTGTCGGCGTGATTGATACACATATTGGTACCAAATTTCAGCTTTTTAGTGCTAACGGTCACAAAGATTAAGCGAGGACGGACAGACGGACAGACAGACATGGCGAAACTATAAGGGTTCCTAGTTGACTACGGAACCCTAAAAAGGGGGAGGTTTTCAATTCGAATGTATTTTTTTATGTGTGTTACTTCAGAACTTTTCTCTATGTGAACGATATTAATGATTCCTTTCTGTATTTGAAAGCTGATGCTTCTCGTGTAGTTGCATATAAATTCTATCGATATCTCACCAGTAGTTTTTCAATTATTCTTAATAATGCTTATTTAATTGACTTCAACTACATTGCTCATGTTCTCATTGAAATGGGTTGTACAATTTTTTTTAATTTTGCCACTTGTTTTCACAAAAGCTGCCAAAGAAGCTTCAAAAATCCCTTACGGAAAAGTTTATATGGCTTACGAATAATTATTCCTTATCTGGATGTGTGTTTATGCAATTCACAACCATACTTTCATCTATCATCCTATTAAGAATCAAAATTCAGATGCATTGTTACCCGTGAGGTATAACATAAAATATTTATTACTAACGATAACAGTAACAAGAATCTCTATTTCTTTTTACTTACCATAATGTCCTCCAGTCCGAATTTCGGCCACGACAGCCAATCTCTATGTAGACTATCCATCTGCAGTTTCTATTATTTTACTCTAATAGTCTGATAAGACGGCAATCCAACACAGGAAAGAGATCAGACGCAAAACTAACAGATTAACGTGCATTGTGAGGCTTACAGTACGTTTGTACTGAGAAACATCCAACACGTAATGTTTTGAAACAAATCGCTTAAAACAAATCACACAGCACGTTGTGTTAATGGTGGCGTTCGATCTCACAAAAACTGTAAAATTTTCTACAGATATTCAAACTTATCTTTCAACATGACAGTATTACTACACATTTGTTTTCAAACATTTTGTTTCTGTAGTTGTAAAGATATAATAAAACAAACTTAAGTAATGTACAATAAACTGTTAAACATATTTCACTACAACATGTTCTTTGACTACACAAACGCTTTTTGATACATTGACAGAAAACAGTGTTTAAAACATGTTTTTTTTTGTGAAAATCGTGTCAGTGGAAACTCACGGTTAGGGTTGGGACACCCCCAACTTCCTAACTACGAAATGCTAATGAGAGAATTTCTCGACAGAAAAACTCAATAAATTATTTCCGGCTCAACTCAGCATTTGTGATAGTCGCGTTTACTAGCTTGTTACTACAAAGCAATCGTGCTCAACGTGGGTGCGCTGACTGCGCAGAACTTTAATACTTTTGCAATAAAATCTGTTAAAAGCTGAAATTCAGTGTCTATGAAAAAGTAATTAACAAAATACTTATAGAACGAACGATATAATATTTGTGCAAAATCTTTTTTGTGTACTTACACAAATGTTGGTATCGAATGGTATTGGACTACGAGTAGGACCAACAACGTAGTAATCTAATAGAGAAGTTGCATGTTTTTAATTTTTTTGATACCAAAATAATTAAAAAGTATGAAAACAATTGATTTCTCATGTAATTATACTATTAAAAATGGTTTTTCTAAAATGTTAATTCAAACGCCAGTGACGTCATTATATCGCTTTGGTAACGCCACCGCATGGTGAAATGAATAAAACTCTCATGTTTACAAAGTCAAAATTAAAATAAAATTTCATTGCATAGTACCCGTTATATAAAATGTTTTGTTATGACACATGGTAACGCGAATATAGGAAATACAAAAGTATAGCATGATTACATACAACATTTGACATACACAAAGTTCAAAATCTTTATTAAACTAAGTTTGTGTAAAACCACAGCGATTTATTCGGATAGATATGACTAAGGGACTTTCAAAAAAAGGGCCTACTCTTTTCTAAAAGGAAAGGTTCATGGGTGGCGGCCGACACTTACCATCAGGGGAGCCGCGTGCTCGTTTGCTCCCTCTTATAAAACAAAACCGATAAAAATATTAATCGCTCGCACCGCAGTAAACTTCAACTTTAACATTATTTATCTAGTGTTGTTGGCTTTAGTCTACTATACCATGGTTTCAGTTGCAGAGGAAATCGGAACTGGCACGTGTTCCTCACAGGAAACGCTGTGTAACGGTGTTTGCGTTAGCAAAAACGCAATTTGCAAAAATGAACCCGCTTCGAATACGTGTAAGTATATTTAAATGTTACATATTTCTTTCTAGTTTTAATATCAGTTCGATTCCACTGTATTTAAAGGTATAATATGTGTTCCTCTGTCTATATTCTTGTATGTACTTTTCTCATCTCACACATGTCGAAATAATAATAATAATATTTTATTATTTCAATAAACTGTACAATTAATTAAAATAATGTATTAATTTGAAACAGTCTATAATAACAGGCACCTGAACAGAAAATATTCATGTGAGAGTGATATATTATCATTAATATACTTATGATATGAATTAACTTAAAACAATCAGCAACTTTTTCTTCTCATCGTATGACAAATTTTGTAACCATGTTCAAATAACATTTTTACAATCTGCCATTTTATTGGAATACAAAGTTGACTTGATTATACAGAAAATATAATAATCTCTAAATAATGATATCATCTTTTACAGCATAATTATTACCTTTTCAATATAATCGCTTCTATACTGATTTAAAAAAAAAACTTATAGTAGATCACAAAATGCGAAGTTTATAATCGTTGTGGGGCAGTTTGAATCGCAGGCATACATATTTTTAACACTTACGTCTGTTTGTATGTATGTATTATGATGATTATGATGCCTTCAAAGCAAGAATGAATAGGCTTTTCTTAAGCTAAATCACCAATCATCATCAGTAAAGACTTAGAGACCTTCAACAAAAGACTCTACTCCTTTTTAAAAGGCCGATAAACGCACCTGCAATTCCCCTGGTGTTGTAGTTGTTCATGGGCGACGGTAGTCACCATCAGATGAGCCGCATGCTCGTTAGGCCCCTCTCCTATAAAAGGCTGCATGTATTTATGCATGTTTTTAATGTAAATGTAGTGGAATATTTAAACTCCGTTTTAACTCACTTTCGTACGTCTGATATAATTAAAACATAATAAAAACCTAGTATTCTAAAATCTCTTAAGTCATCTTAACATACTCGTAGCTCATGCTCAATGCAACGTGCATGTCTTTTTATTTTTAAACTCTAGTTTGTAATTTTTCGCAATTGGTTTCAGCTACCACAACATGTAGCCCAACAGAATTCCTGTGCACGAATGACTCCATTTGTATCGAGCACTCCCTGGTCTGCGACGGTCATGTGGACTGTCCAGATGGCACCGATGAGCAGCCCGCTTCTTGCGACACCATGTCCTGTTTCGTGACAGAGTTTATGTAAGTATATGCTTATAATCTAATAGTTATTTCATCAAAGCCTGCCAAAAGTCTGCTGCTGAATATAAGCCTCCACTTTAGATTGTGTCGAAAATCAAAAATTGAAGCCACAAACAAAAAATCTGTTCGTATTGAGAGGTTGTCATGGTTACGTAGAGATGTGTGTTTTTTCAAGTATATTACTTAATGAGTATTAGTTTCTATTTTTACTAACTGAATTTATTATGTAGCCTATTATTATTAAAACTTGAAGCATTGCAAAGAGCCGTGGTAGCTCAGATGGTTAACGCTCGCTGTAAATATAACAGAACGCTAGTAACCCGGGTTCAATCCCCGCCGGCACCAATGAAATTGTTAATTGCAATTTAAGTGCTGATTCACCACGCGCTCGGCGGTGAAGGAAAACATCGTGAGGAAACCTGCATGTCTGAAGAATAAGAAAGAAAAAAATTTCGAAGACATGTGAAGTTCGCCAACACACATTGGGGCAGCGCGGCGGACACTTCCTTGCCCTAAAACCCTCTCAGAAATGAGGGGAGGCCTGTGCCCAGCAGTGGGACGTATCTAGGCTGTAACTTTACATTGTAGACAATATAATAAAGGAGTAATTCGACAGCAAACAAGGTGTTCTATTTATTGGTAAATCTACCTAGTGCAAAGTTGAACAGATTGCGTTATACGAAAGGGATATTTGCATTAGATGTTACGCTTGTGGTTGTGAACTGTAACTTTATTATTATTTTGTTTTGAAGTAAGTGCTCTAGTTTAGTTTTTCTTTCCAATATCTTATATAGTATGTCTCAATGAATTTTGAGCGTACTCTAGGGATAACCAACCTTTTTGCTGTTTTTCTACTTCATTTCTCTTTGTTCCTCGATCCACAGTCAGTAATTCATTGTTGAGGCAACGCTATTACAACAAAGTCCCAGAAAATATGCAAGGTCTCTATTATCAAGTTTAAATATTTAATTAAACAAAAACTGTATAAAAAGGGTCATTATGATATAAATGAATACATGGTTGATAATAAACCCTGGGAATGAGGTGGTCGTTACCAAGCTGTTTTTAAAATAAAATTTGTAAATATTTTGTGACCATTGACATTGTAAAATTTATTTAAAAAAAGTCCCGCTGGGTTTCTTGCTGGTTCTTCCCAGGACAGAGTTTTTTTAGAACCAGTGGTAAAGTAAAAAATTGACTTTCAATAAGAATTACTAACGAATAAAAAAATTATTCTGTTTTCTTCTATTATATTCATTTAGATTTCAGTTTTACCTTCTGACCAATATATATAGTTGTAGTAGTCGTGAGCACATATAAACTGTGGTGGGAGGTAGGTACACTGTCGGGCAAAATTACTGGGTACCTTTATTATTTCAATTCGTAATTGAATATTTTCGCCGACTTTTATGAAAATGTTTACTCGAACACATCAACTTTTACTTTGATACAGTTATGTTGCAAATATTCGTGTCCGTTATTTTATAATCTACTATAAAGTATTTAATGTATACCTGGTGGTTAGAATTGATTATTTTATTAAGAAGAAGGAAGAGGTGATACGCCTTCCATAAAATCCGGTGTTGCGGTGCGCCGTACAGTAGCTACTGAGACATTAGTCGCCTCAGCAGTCTGTTTATATACGTCTATGACGTTTTTCGCAGTACCTAATTTTTTCATGTAACTAAACACTGAACAAACAATTTGTCGGGATTGTCTATTTAACACCGAATTCTTCCTTCTCTGCATATTTAGACCAAAATCTGAACACTCAAACTATAACAACAAAAATAATTAAAAATAAGAAATGACAAAAACAATTAATAACAAGGAATACACAAACAACGATTAACAACGAGGTAACAAAAACAATTAACGAAAATATACTAATTAAAAAAAGTTATCACTAAAATTATTGCTCTGAAGTGTACGGAAGCCGAATGATACGTTCGAAACCAATAGACGACGAGAATCGACTGGTGAACCAATCACGTTGAACGTCAGCGTGGTCAACGTCGTGTCGACCAATAAAAAGTGTGCTCACGACTTATGTCGGAAATTATACCTACTATTATTATTAATAATATATTATGAAGCTTTTAATAGAAAATATATATTATGGATGAGTATTAATGTGATTTATGTTCATAAAACAAGGAAAAGACACATAAAATAGAAAATACATACAAAATTATTTTTACTTGCTATACAATGCAATACAATAACAGTCCATGACATTATATTCTAAATAAATGTTTTAAAAAAAGTTTCGCTGGGCTTTCCTGCTGGTAGACTGGATAAAACTTTGTACTTTTTTTTAAATTTATTGTTGACATCTATGTTTATTTGTGTCTTATTTATATTGGACTTTTTAATCTGGAATTTATAATACAATTATAAATTAAACATATTTTTTATGGAATTATGTACATTAGCCCAACGGATTAGTAAGCTGAAGTGGCAATGGGCCGGCCATATAGCTCGAAGAATCGATAACCGATGGGGAAGAAAGGTTCTCGAGTGGCAGCCTCGTACCGGTAGGCGTAGTGTACGGCGACCCCCCACTAGATGGAGTGACGACGTGGTAAAACATGCAGGAAGTCAATGCATGCAGGTGGCTCAGGACCGTGCTTTGTGGCGTTACTTGGGGGAGGCCTATGTTCAGCAGTGGACTTGTGAAGGGCTGTAATGATGATGATGATGATGATGATATGTACATTTTACAAAATAATGTATTTGCATGCTACTGGCGAACTGCCACTGCTGTACTATGTTTAATCTTAATGTCAGTAACCACCATATTTCTTCCATATTAGAGGTTTTATTCCGAACCAGTGGTAAAGTAAGTAGTAGTAATCATTCCTTTTATTAAAGATCTATTCTACATATTTCACGGATCATTATATTCTTTGCGGGTTTCTTTTCGAATTATTGTAACGATAATTTTTTTGAGATCTGTAAATAATAATAAAAAAAACCTGACATAACCTTGCTCTGCTCCTTCTGTATTCGATCTTTGTTTTCATTTATTATTTACAATAAATAGTAAAATGCTCGCAACGCCAAGACGCCGGATGGAAAACCAACTCCAGCTTGCGCTCCAAGAACTTAAAGGCGTCCAGGGAGCAGTGTGAACTGTTGGTTAAGGAAAGGGATGATAATGAAAACGTTATTAGCATAATTGTCAAAAATACATAATTAAAATGTGATATGGTTACGTTACACACTGATTACACTAGTGTTACAAAAGAAAGAGATCAACTAAAGGGAACGGGTAATGAGTTTGACCAATGCAGCAAGGAGAAAATGAGGAAGCTCTCTGGTTTATTACTGCATTAGAGTTACAGTTAAATGAGGCTAATGAACAAAAAATGAGTAAATATATTATCTTTCAAAAAGTATTGTTCAATAAAAAAATTTAAATATTCTAATCAAGTGTGTGTTTTCCAGGTCACTTGAAATGTGCTGTTCTGTTTATCTTTATTTGTTGGTGTGAGTGATAAAAGTGCAAAATTTCATTTATGATCTAAACCTGTCAGGTGCGCGTCCGGTTCGTGCATTCCTATCAACTGGCGGTGTGACGGCAGCGAAGATTGTGTAGACGGCTCTGATGAAGTCGACTGCGGTGAGTTTTATAACCTACGCCTATTTTTTCTCCTTACGTATTTTACCATCGGCGCTAAAAAAGAAATAAATACGTAGTGGTATTTATTTTGTTTGGCTAGATGAGTTTAAAATGTGCCTGAACCTCTGAGGTCTTACTTTCTTAAAATAAAAGTAAAATAAACAAATGAAATAATTAACGATAAAAGGCTTTACTTTCTATAGAATAGATTTTTGTTCATATTTCATACTATTCTAAAATGGTCCTTTGAGCCGGATCAAGTTAAAACTAATCTATAGTCAATCACGAGTATTTAAATGATCGCCTATTAATTATTGTTCCAGTGAACAAAACCTGCAGCCCTGGTAACTTCCAGTGTTTTAATGGCGATTGTATCGATCTGAGTAAACGCTGTAACCAGGAGCCAGACTGCTCTGACCATTCGGACGAAGATGGTTGCGAAATGACTGAGGGGTTCGAGGCTATGGTAAGACTTCTGTTGACTTTTTAATTAAAATTAAATGGTAGTAAACTTTTCGTTACACTTCAGATTAATATAGACATTTCAATCAATTAAAGAGCTAGAAAGTTGCGGTCGACCGACATTGACTAGTCCAGGGGTGGCGAACCTTTATGTATTAACGTGCTATTTTTCTAAGGAAATGTTTAATGAAGTCATAGACGTGCCGTAAAATAATTTTGACTTCGTGATTATTGGGCTTACGGCATTGACTGCACCGGTAGCTTTTCAAAGTACGTGTACTAGCGCCTTTTTCTATGTATGTGTATTAGTGTTGCCAGGTCCAATGGGCTAAATATCGGAACGGTAGGTAAAAATTAACGATAATTTGGTTTTCAAATCTAATGTAATAAAAATAAAAATAGTTTTTTGTAGCCAAGTATTTAAAAGTAATACACATTTATAATTATTCTTTTTGCCTAAACTGACCAACGAATAATTTATCGTCCATGTATTGGAAACACTGCATATTCGTCTATGTGCGTTTATTTCTGTAAATCAGAATTTGTTGAACGATTACTTACAATTCCAATAAATATTTACATTTATTTCAAAACCGATTCTTGATAGTCTGTGGTTTTTCGTTATGGCATGGCATAGTTTAGCGTGCCACATCACTCTCGTAAGTGGGCGGTACCCATCCATGAAGTACAACAATATCTGTATGACAGTTTATCTAAAAAAAAAAAATACGAAACTTCATAGGCGTGAGCTGTCATTCGCACCATGCTGCAACGTAAAGACTATAATTGTAGGTAGACGCGACCTGTTAAAGGAATCAAGTGACAAGTCAATCAAAACAAAAGTGGGCATGATTATTTAGTTATAGCTAGACAAACTAGGGCAGCAGCATCATCCTAATACGAACTTAAAAAAATATTGTGATTGCCAATTCGCCCGCCGAGCGTGGCAACTATGGCAAATGAACTCCCTCAAACTGAATAGTTGCGCTATTGTACAATAGCCTACCGGATGAGGTATTCCTGAAAAATCTTTTCAAGATTTAAAGATGAATTAAAAAAGCACTGTCAAACATTAATTTAAAGACAGTGCTTTTTTAATCCTAATTTGAATATATTTATGTAACTTTATTCATATTAGTCACCGTATGTAAATTTATTATTTTTACCAATTATGTTATTCCTAAGTTTCATATAAATGAATATTTACAGTTTTTTTTTTTGAGATAATAAACTCTTTAAACCTAAACCTAATGTATGGCAATTTATGGGGAAGGCCTATGCTCAGCGTTAGATTTTTGTTAGGCGGTAACGGTAACCGTAAATAAAAAAAATCATCTGCTTATAATCTGCCCTTACAAAATAAACTAAACGTCAAACATCACAGCGGTTGTAACACGAATGGGTCGGCTCGACCGGGGAAGGACCACACTCTCACAGAATACCAGCGTGAAATAGTAGCTTAATGCTGCTGAGTTTCGTATGGTGAGTGTAGAGAACCGGAGACCTTTTTACTGGAGACAAGTCATTCCACTTTAGTCCTCACGGGTGACAACGTATCTGCATTTTGAATAATCGAGGATAGATGTAGATGTCTATGGGCCACAGCAACCACTTACCATCAAGTGGACTGTGTGCTTGTTTGTCACCCTATCCTATAAAAAAATGTTACAATTAACTACTTAAAACAAATGAAATATTTAGGCAGCCGGTCACCTCATTCCCAGGAGTTATCATCCATAAATTTCTTAATATTTTATTAAACCCATTTTATACAATTTTTGTAAACATCATACCCTAAGAATGAATTAGTAACTGTGGATTCGAGAAGGTAGTCCGTACCTAAGAAACGTAGTAATCAACCGCCAGATGGCGACAATTTATTTTTAAATGGGAATCTGTGATGTTTTTAAACATTCAAACTATACAACAGGAGGAGCAACCGCAGTGCCAACCTTGGGAATACACTTGCGAGCGCAACAAAAGCATTTGCTTACCGCTTACTGCCCGGTTAGATTATAGAAGCTTTTTTGGTGTGGGGTACATACACTAATTCTGTACTAACAAGCATAACTAATACTAATTCTAACATTTTTTTGATATGAGTAGCGTAGATGAGCTTTCATTCGGTGTTGGGTATTTTTTCATTTCTTCGTTATGTAATTAAATGTTAAATTTTGTTAGCCGATTTCAAAAAAGAAGGCTTATAATTTGACTGTATGTTTTTTGTAGATATCTCTGTTTTGGAGATAATTTTTTTATTAAATAGGTCTTATAGGTCATAACCTCATAACAGGTCATAGGCATCAGGGTTGGTCCCATACAAAATTGGAAATTAAACCTTGTCCCTATCTAATAGAATTATACGAGTATAACCTATAATACTATTCATTATTATTACTTATAATGCTATCGCGATTTATATTAGCGATTGTCTAATTATAACCTATTTTACTACTTATACTATAATGATAAATTTATCAAAAGGAAAAAGTCTAGTCGAATCGTTTTTCTTTAAGCATAACTTTTTTACATTCTTAAATTTGTGATTTTATTATTTGTGTGTATTTTAAGATTAATTTTTCTTATTAACGTCAATTAATATAAATAATTTTACGTGATAGAGCAACACAGCAGCTATACTATTTTTCTAGCACGAATGGGTTGGTTTAGTTTAACCGGGGAAGGACCATGTTCCATAGAATATCAGCGTAAAATAGCAGCTTTATCCTTAATGGTAAGTGTAGAAAAACGAAGACCATTTTCCTGGCAATAAGGCATTCCATCAGTTTTTAGGGGTGACTACGCATTTATATTTTGTTTCTTAATCAATTATAGATGTAGATGTCTCTATGGGTCGTAAAGGGATGTCCTAGGCGAAAGTTTGTCGACCAAATTGGCGATATATTAAAAATGGGCCAAATTAAGAGTACCCTTAACCGACGAGTGTGTATGCGTAGGTATATGGATGTGGAAGAGGCGAGAGAGGTATGTCAGGATCGTGCTAAATGGAATTAGTCTCTGACTACCCCTCTGGGTGACAGGCGTGAGTGTTTATGTTACGTTATGTCTATAGGCCACAGGCAGCATCCACTTTTATATCAGGTGAACTGTTTAACTCTTTATTGTTATTGGTATAAAAATTTTAAAATAATCAGCATGAACTGGGTATAATGAAATAGGGAAATAAGAGAGTTAATAAGGGGAGAGATTATGTAGATATTTTTTGCTTTGCTACTACTCTGTAAGCTTAAAATGATAATTTTTAGATGCAACGCAAAAGTGGAGTGTCCCGGCGGCACGGACGAAGACGGCTGCGACTTTCGCTGCGCGCCGCACGGACTGTTCGAGTGCAAGCAGGAACTGACGTGCGTCGCTAAGAAAAGAGTGTGCGACGGGAAAAACGACTGCCTGGACGGATCTGACGAGACACCCGATGCATGTCACAAGGGTAAGTTCTCTTCTTCTACAGATAAAAACATGGAGAGCAGAAAGAAAGCAAAGAGCGTAGTAGTGCCACGGTGCAATTGTATTATAATTTCCTCACGAGCGGGTAGACTTGACCGGGAAACTTCCAGTCTCTCACAGAGTACCAGTGTGTGGGGGTGCGTGCGTGCGTGCGTGCGTGCGTGCGTTTTGCGTGCGTGCGTGCGTGCGTGCGTGTGTGTGTGTGTGTGTGTGTGTATAGAGAACCGGAGACCCTTTTTTATTATCAATATGAAACTGAACATTCTATTCTTTTCTTCGTAATTTTTATTCTTAATCGAATAGGTGTAGGTTTCTTTTATAGAATAAGGGTGAAAAAACAAGCAGTCCATCTGATGGTATGTGGATGCTGTGGCCCATAGAGATCTACATTTATCCTCGATTAATAATCACAACGAATATGCGTTGTCACCCCTGGGATTAAAATGGAATGCCCCGTTTCCAATAAAAAAGGGTCTCAGGATCTCTACCCTCACCATACGAAACACAGTATATTAAGCTGCTATTTTACACTGGTATTATGTGAGAGCGTGGTCCTTCCTCGGGCGAGCCGACTCATTCGTTCTACAACCATAATATAGCTGCAGCGTGGCCCTACCACGTATATAACTGGTTAGAGCATTCACTATATAACTAGTTTGAGCATTTACTTGCTATGATGGGAAATATGTGCTCTATTTTCAGTAAAAAGGGTGATTATTCACTTGATGGTTAATGATTACTGGAACCCATGGACACCTGTAGTCAACTTACAACAAAGAAGGCTAAAGATGCGTTATCACTTATTAAAACTATGAATTAATGCTTTAATGTCTGGCTAATTATACTGGCTCTCTATATTCTTCATAGTGAAACACAGCAGTGCAAGCACTATGATTTGGCGGTAATAGTAGGTAAGAGGGTGGTATCTACCCAATCTGACTAATTTTGAAAAAATATTTGATTTCGACTTTAAGTGGGGGATGAGGGAATGTAAATGTGTTTTACGTGATAGAGCCACGATACATATTATAGTTGTAGCACGATTGGGTCGGCTTGACCGGGGTAGAACCACGCTCTCACAGAATACCTGCGTAAACTAGCAGCCTAAGACTACTGTGTTTCGTATGGTGAGTGTAGAGAACCGTAGACCCTTTTTACTGGAAACAAGGCGTTCTTGACTTTGATCCTTAATCGACGATAAACGTGGTTGTCTATGGACCACAGCATTCACTTACCATGAGGTGGACTGTGTGCGCGTTTGTTAGCCTAATTCAATAAAATAAAAATAAATTACCTTCACCCAAGTTGTTGGCAATTAAGTTCAAAGTAAGCGAACAAACCGAGTCAATTATCGCTGGCACTAATGAAATTGCTACTTGCAGCTTTGAGTGCTAGGCAATTGCTCGTAATGGAGACGTGCATGTGTAGGAGACAAGAATAATATTTCGAAGACAGGTACATTTTACGCGGTAGGGCCATGCTGCTGCTATATTATCCTCCAGACCGAATTTCGGTCAGGATTATAGTGCCCCATTCTCATAGTCCAGCCTATGAATTTGTGTTTTTCGAGGAAGGAGAGTGAAACTTCGACAAACTCGTGACCCCTGAAAAACGCAATAACTGATTTTATCTGGACCTTATGGTCAGCCACCGCGTTAACGACCACTATACTTTATTCCAATTACGAAGTCCCTTTTGACACTTCTTAGAACGTAACTCTTCACGTTTCGCATAATTTGAAATAATAATCATTTTTTGTTCATGGTCGCAGATCATCATTTAAAAATACACAATCAATCTAAATCATTATACAATTAATTTAAACATCAAAAAATCAACATATTGTTTTTAGACATCGTGCTCCAAATGATTAAAACTTTAAAAGATAATAATATTTTACTGCCGTTTTGCGTTTACGTTCTATAGTTTTATGTTTACTTTTTTACATAGTGACGTGACTAAAAGAATCGTATAAAATCGATTATGGACAGATTCTTTTCGCGAGTGAAAATCTGTCAACACCGCGTCCACCTCGTGATCATGACATCCATTCTGTTTGTCTCTTCTGTACGAGTGCAGAAGCCTTGTATACGATACGCGTATTCAGTTTAGTTGATTTTGTGTTGTGTTTTTATTTCGTCCTTGTTATTGTAGTTATAACTGTTTGATAATTCTTTCGTTGTTATTAAGTTTTGACTGTTATTTGATTTGGTTTTTTTATATTTATAAACACTATGGCCGATACCGAGACCACTAAAAGAACAGTGATGCGCAGTCAAGCGCGAGAGTTTGTAGTACGCCTACAAGATTACTTTGAAAGAGTAAAAAGTTAGAAGATCGATAGTTACACATATCGACAATTATGATAGCGACGCCATTAGAAACCATATCTATGGCTACTATAGTAGGAACAAATTGCCGACTCGCTATAAATTGTCAAATACTTTACGAAAATCTGGACTGTTGCACGGCAGTAGAACTTCTTTCTGGAAGATTTTAGAAAATGTTGGCTTTTCTTATAAAAAATGTGATAAAAGGTGGATTTTGATGGAACATAGAGATATAGCTTTAGCCAGATTTAATTTTCTAAGATCAGCAAAGTCCATTGCCGTTTGGAATAATGTTATATTTCTAGATGAGACGTGGCTAAACGCTAATCATACAGTTGGCAAGATATGGACAGACGACACTCATCACTCCTCCACAAAAGTACCTAGTGGCAAAGGTGAACACTTAATTATTTGTCATGCGGGTTCCATGAAGGGATTTGTTTCGAACTGCCTCTTGGCGTTGAAATATAAGAAAACTTTGGAATACCACGAAGAGATGAATTTTGTTAAAATTAAGGAATGGTTTTGTACCTTATTGACCAACTTGAATGAGCCATCGACGATCATTATGGATAATGCACCGTATCATTCAGTACAAATAAGAAGCCTCCAACTTCTAGCAGCAAAAAAGCCGATATTGTGAAATGGCTGAATGACAATAATATTGTTGCTGACATGTCCATGTTAAAAGTTGAGCTGCTGCATTTGGTTGCTACAAATAAGCCAGATATACCAAAATACGTATTGGACAAAATGGTTAAGGAAGCCGGACACAATGTAATGCGCCTTCCACCCTACCATTGTCAATACAATGCCATAGAATTGATTTGGGCGCAAATTAAAGGCAAGAATTTAAACAAATCTTTTTTATCATTTATCTTCACCTATTTTTACATTTTATCTCTTGCTATATTAACACGCAAACTTTTATTTTAGGTTATGCGGCTCGTAAAAATACCAGCCCACCGTTTACTGCAAACAAAATGCTGTCATTGTTGCAAGAAGCTTGTGATAGTGTTACTGCCGCGAATTGGGAAAGTGTGGTTTTACGAACAAAAAATTTGATTTTCGCTGATTGGGACAGAGACATACATATCGATGCCGTCATAGTTACCAACCAAATTATAATAAATACAGGGGATTCTACAGACGATGATGAGGGTGATGACGACGATGCCGACCATGAAATATCGATTTCGGCTAGTGATGATGAATATGTTCCATCTTGATAAAAATATCATGTAATATTATCTAATTAAAATTAAAAAACAGTTTTATAAATTTTAATTTGATGCTAATCCTTTTTCTGTATATACGATTTTAATTTGTTCGTTACAGTAATCGAAGATCAATATCGTCAAGTATCGACTATAGCGGTACTTTACTAGTACTTGATTATTGACATCTGTCAAATGGGACTTCGTAATTGGAATAGAGTATAGAGCCATGTTGCAGCTATATTATATAGTTAGTTTTTCAGTTTAGTTTTAAAAAAAATTTTTTGAAAGTCAAAAGTTACGCCATAGCCTTAACAATTGATGTGAGAAAAAGCGCCAATAAACTCAAAAGTAAACTATTGATTTACCAACAGTTACAATTTAATCAATATTTATTACATTTATATATTATAAAATATCTATCGCGTAGATAACTAGGATAATTAGCCTTTCAGATAACAGTCAAGCTTAACAACCTAGCCTTTTTACTAAACTGCGCGGTTCAAAGAGCGTCCTGAACATATAATACTATAATACATACATAATAGAACGGGAGAGTGGACGGAGCCGGCGTAGCCACTAAGATGTCACTAACATGTCAATTCACACGTATAAATGTCAACACAATCAATCGTTTCCAACTTTCGTGTCAAGCGTCGCTGCATGCAAATTATTTAAAAATGGCAAATGGTGCAATAATTACGTGTCGAGTCGTGTAATTACGTTTACTGAACGGTCGCTGGTCTATGCCTAACCTTAACTTACTGTCACAGATTTTGTAAGATTGGTGTAACGTTTTATTAAACGCATAGGTTGAATATCATTCAAGCTGCTAGTTGAACGGAACCGGTTAAAAAAGCCGGGCTGTTAACTGTAAGGCTAATTAAGCTAGTTGGCTGTGACATATGCATAAGTAAAAGAAGTTCAAAGAAGATGTTTATGTCCGAAGTGAACAAGAACGTAACGTGGCACGGCGTCGCGTCGTACCCGGCAGCGCAGTGCCGCAGCGGATTCCTGTGCGACAACGGGCAGTGCGTTGAGTGGAGCGACGTGTGCGATGGCACACCTAACTGCTTCGACGGTACCGACGAGAACGGACTGTGTGGTAAGTAGACACGTTCGCACACATGCACCGATCCTTATATGCATTGCACATACACGCACACACACACACACACACACACACACACACACACACACACACACACGCACACGCACGCACGCACGCACGCACGCACGCACGCACGCACGCACGCACGCACGCACAAAAGCGTGTACATACGCATGGATTCGTACGTGTATGCAATATCCGTCCGTATGTTTGCACGCACTCTATTAAAGTGGTTATTTAGATTTAAGATAGTAAAAGATCACATACTTTATCAATTTATGTTATTTTTATTTTTAAAAATTCTCCAAGTTTTTGGGATAAAATATAGCCTAGATCTCTAGTGATAAATCTACGGAATCGTTTAACAAAAATATCAATAGGTTTAGCAATCCCGAAGATCAGATCGAACAGTCACACAAAATGTTAAAAATTATTGTTTATATATCTGAGCTTAATATAATTTCGATATTACAGTTCAATTTAATTTAGAGATTGAAAATGTGAGCGTTCTGTTTTGTGTGAAGCGGTGGGGTGCTCGTCACACAACTGCGCGCAAGTGTGCCGGGCCACGCCGCGCGGGTTCCAGTGCGAGTGCGCCGCGGGCTACCGCTTGCTACCGGGCGGCGGCTGCCAGGACGTGGACGAGTGCGCGCGCGACGTGTGCTCGCAGCGCTGCCACAACGTGCTAGGCTCCTTCGTGTGCGCCTGCCACCATGGATACGCGCTCAGGTACCCCCCCCCCCCCCCACACACACACACACAGACCGTTACCGATAAAGCCTATTATTTTCTTTTTTTATTTAAAAAAAACGTTCCACGTCAGGATTTACCCCTGTAATTGTGGGGGTTTAGTTTACAAACATAAATTTCACATCCAAACCCGGAACAATTATGTGTAGGCCATACAAATACTTGTTCCGTGCGGGATTCAAACCCGCGGCTCTTAGCGCTGTAACTCACTGCTAAACCACTACACCTTTTGTTTCCCTCTGTCGTCTCTTACGAAACCCACGGGATGATATGCAGGCAAACATTATTTTATGGAAGTGCAGGCAAACAAGCATGCACTTCACCTGATGAAGTGTCGACCGCCTCCCATGAACAACTGCAACTCCGATAGAAATGCAGGTGCTTTGCCTTTAAAAAGATAAGCTGGTTTCTTGAAGGTCCCTTATTCACATCGGTCCGGAAAAATCGCCGGCGGTAACGATTACACAAAGAAGTCTTGCGATGAAGCAAACTAGTATTAAATCACACAGTGGTACACCACAAAGCATCCATATGGTATGGATTATTTCAGAAATTTGGACTTGATGTGCGTCGGTGGAATTTATATGTGGTAGGGCCATGTCGCAGCTATAAAATATTTAGCTCCAATGGGTTTGCTCGACCGAGTTACGAACACGGTCTCATGTAATACCAATTTGGAATAGTAGCTTAATGCTGCTGTGTTTCCTATGGTGACCATAGAGAACCAGAGACCTTTTTTATTGGAAACAAGGCATTCCATCTTAGTTCTCAAAGATGACAACGCATTTGCATACTGATTCTTAATCAGAATTAGATATTGATGTTTTTGGGCCACAGCATCCACTTTTTATCAGGTGGTCTGTGTGCTCATTTGTCTTTTTATTCGGTAAAATAAAAAGAAATAATCTACTTACCTAATTGACGTGAACTTACAGGGCCTAAACTGTTGTTTCTGAGACCACACATTTGGTTGGTTTTTGGATCAACACAAACTAACGGATAACCTCCTCATAGATCTTCATGTCTACTTACAGACGTGATTTTGCTTCCATAATAAAAAGACTTTCTTATAATGGTCTCTCTTTCTTGTTTTCTTATCTTTTAAACTTTGCCCTAATTAACTTCTGGTCTTTGCTTAAGTATTGCTAATGATAGCACATTCCACAAATTCATCGTCATGGAAAAAACTTTAGGAAAATTACATGATGGTAGACTGCCAATCACCTAAATAGTGTGGATGATAAAGAGCAGATAAGAATTAGCAGTTTGTCAGACAAGATTGTGTTAAATCCCACCGATTTTACATTCACAAACCTATTGATTGAAACTACTTTTACGGATTTTATCGCGTTTATTTACTTTTAATTACTTTTATTTTTAGTTCCCGACGTTTTGGGAGCTTTCCAGCACCCATGGTCACGGGGGGGGGGGGGGGGTTTAATTATTGTTTATGGTAAAAAAGCTGAAGGTACTCCGGGTTTAACAATGACATGGAGACGTCAGTGATCTCAGTCCCCCGTGACCATGGGTGCTGGGAAGCGCCCGAAACGTTGGGAATTAAAAATAAAAGTAATTAAAAATAAAATAAACGCTATAAAATCCGTAAAAGTAGTTTTAATCAGTGTGTAGTGTTCGCGTAAATATAAGAAATCATTATGTTCACCAACCTACCTTTCCAGTGTGCCGAGTATAGGCAAATCTTTGAAACTTTACAATCCCGTTGATGTATCTCTTAAAATCACTACTAGAGCTACTACAGCCTATCAAAAGTCCATCGCTAAACAAAAGCCTCCTCCATAGATATCAGCCACAGTTTTGCTGTAGTTGCCACGATTGGCAGACAGGTAGGGTACCGCATTTTTTATTATTTTGTTGCGTGCCACAGTTGATGGCACTAGCGCCATCTGGTATCAAGTATCAGAAATAGGAGTGTCAAGATCTTTCTGGAACCCTCCCATCGGCGCCATCTAGTAACGAATAGAAGAATTAAGCTTTCTAGAAAAGTCCACACTCGAACTTTCTGCACTTAGTCGGTCGGGACCGGTACTTGCTGGAACATTCTGGATTTTTCGGTGGAAAAGGCGTATTTAAAGCCGCTGAGGGCCGCGACCGGAGCAGTATTTAATTGGCGATACGAGCGAAGCTTTCGGAGTGAAATAAAGTGTTAAGTGTGAATAATTATTAGTGTGATTTAAGTTTTAATTGGTGTTCTGTAATTAAAGTGTCAATTTTGGTAATACAATCGACGGTTTTTATTGTCACGAACCCTAAGCTCGCAACAATATTGTTATTTTTATGCCGCTGTTATCCATCTCATTATACATGTGTCAATCATTCATTTCTCGTGATCGAATCATTCTAGTACATTTTGGCACGCGTACCGGTACATTCAGATCGATCATTCAAATGGATTATTTTACGACTTTTAAGTGTTCCATCTCAAAAGAAAGAATCATTCATGATTGACACATGTCCACATATCATGGTTTTATTTCCCATTATCGCGACCAACGACACCTACGGGACTACATGGGATAGTGGATATTCTTACACCGCCACTACAAGTTTTAGTACAAGATTAATAAAAAATCATCACCACCAGGTCGGACCGTCGCTCGTGCAAGGCCACCCGCGGCACTATGTCGGTTCTGTACGTGTTCGGCAACGCTGTCCGTTCCATCTTCCCTGACTACAAGGTCCGCCTTGAGTACCACAACGCTGCAATCGCCACCATCAGCGACCTCGACATCAACGTCAGGTTTGGTTCATTTTATTATTATCTTTCATCATCTTTCCATTACCATTATAATAATAATAATGTCCTCCAGACCTGCCTCAACAGAGGTTAGCCATCGGCGCAGGGCACGATTATAGTGTCCAAGTGTATGCGCAAGCACAGGTGCACTCTCTATTCCCTCACTCTCATAGTCCGATGGAACGGTAAACCGACACGACCCGAGAGAGACCAGACGCAGGACCAACGGCTTTACGTGCTTTCCGAGGCACGGGGGTGAGACACCGCCAACTTCCTGACTCCGGGCAGCTACTGAGAATTTCTTGACAGAAAAGCTCAATAATTGATTTTTTGGCCCGACCCGGGATTCGAACCCAGGACCTCATGATCAGCAGCCGCACTACTACAACCACCAGACCAACGAGGCAGTCACCATTACCATAACAGCTTATAAGAATCCACTGCCGAACATAGGGCGCCCGCATAAATTGTCTCATCAGCTGCGATGGGACCGTTGAATTTTTTGTTGTATTCAGGAAAATGCTATCCATTTCCTGTTTTAGCTAGGCCATAGTGAAAACAGAAAACAGTAGGATTACCCCCGTGCCGCGCGAGACTTAAATGCCTACTGTTGCAGGGTTCTCACTGTCTTTTTGTTTAACAGCTAAGTCTCATTTAGTTTATTTCTAAATCCAGCTTTAAAATGTTAAAAAAATCGTGATTCTTTTAATTTTCCGGCTCGTTTGCTATTGTTATAACAGGAGCCATTCACGTGTTAACTATAATAAAATATTCTGAGTAATTTGAACTTCATCTTATTCATTGAAATGCATTTTCGCATGAAAAATCAGGTGTCATATTTTTTTTATTATTTATTTAATTTCAAGTATCTTCAAGACTCATTTTTCTTTACATTACATTTTTTTTTTCACATTATAATTATTAAAAAAATTAAAATCAAATAATCTAACAAAATATGATGAGACAAATATATTAAAACTATTAATTATTACTAAATGCTGTAATGCACATAAACAGCAGTCAAATTAGCTGCTGGGCATATGCAGTCTACAACAATGTTGCAGATAGGGACAGTTCACTCTGTCACCTATCATTTTAAGAATGCCATTGGGGCTGGCCCTTACCCTACGCACCAGCGATGCAGCTCTTTTACGCAAAGTTGCGTAAAAACAATCTACATGTGCTTGAGCAAACATCGCTGATGCGCTGCAGCGTCGGGACAGCCCCATCAGCACCCGGAACGCGTTGTTATATTGGATCCGGAGAGCTCCATAGGCCCGTTTCGGACTACACGCAACTATGGAGCTCTCCACAGGCTGCACGTGTAAAGAGATGTACAAAACGCTCTAAATAAAGTGAGTTTAACCTCCCTTGAACATCTCGCGAACCTACGTGCAATCATATTTGCACGAACCGACAGAGCCCTACGTTCCCTTTCTATGTCAGTAATGTCCTTGAGGTCGGACGTAACCAGAGCTTTACGTTACATCAAATGCCGAATAACTAAAATACGAGTAAATTAACACACAGCATATAGGTTTCAGCTCGGATTTAATGTTTAAAATTAATATGATATGTATATGATAATTAATGTACTCATAAGGTATATATTTGTGAGGTATATATTTATGTGTGGATATAGTAATTTAACCTATTAATGAAAAGCTAATTTACTTAAACAAACCCATATATTCATTTATTTTACAAAAAGAATAAATAAAACGAAAATAGACTGCCAGAAAATTTTATTAAAGCGCGCGGAGCGCGCGCGGTGGCAGTCCCCGAATCGTCCAGACCTTTCTGACTTAGCAAGTGTCGTTGTGTGCGTGCTGTGACTCGTGCGTACAAGTCAGTACTGTCACATGCCAGGCGCGCGCACACACACACACACACACACACACACACACACACACACATTACTTTCCGACTTAGCAAGTGTCGTTGTCTGCGTGCTGTGGCTCGTGCGTACAAGTCCGTACTGTAACATGCCAGGCGACACACACACACACACACACACACACACACACACACACACACACACCCACACACCCACACACATATTACTTTCCGACTTGGCAAGTGTCGTTGTGTGCGTGCTGTGGCTCGTGCGTAAAAGTCCGTACTGTCACGTGCCAGGCGCACGCGCGCACACACACACACACACACACACACACACACACACACACACACACACACACACACACACGCACGCACGCACGCACACACACACACACACACACACACACACACACAGACACACACAGACACACATATTACTTTCCGACTTGGCAAGTGTCATTGTGTGCGTGCTGTGGCTCGTGCGTACAAGTCAGTACTGTCACATGCCAGGCGCATACACACATACACATATTACTTTCCGACTTAGCAAGTGTAATGTACTGTAGATCCCAGGGATCAATATTTAGGAAGCACAAGTCACACTATTGTAAGTAATATATATTACAAGTAACACTATTATTATACACTAATATCTGCTCGTAGTAAGCGTCCACGTCTTCTCCCTGCGACGGTCGGTCGGGCAGTGCTGCCCCGCCCCGCGATTCCGCGCGTGCGCTTCTCGAGACGACAGAGTTATACACAACTATAAATGTCTATACGCTACATCCCTCCCATATTAATGTTTTTTCTAATATAAATATATATATACAAATATAAATAACCATATCGAGTTAAGGAACTGCGATCAGCTTAACTTACAAATAAAATACATAATTACCTATTCGTATGGTAGTTTAATGAATTTTTTTCCTTTTTACATAAGTAAGTATATCAAGTACAATCAGCAAGTTCTTATTCAAATTATGTTCAATCACTGATCATCAATTATTTTGTCATTATCGTCCATAATTTTATTCACTCGAGTTGCGATTGATTAACGTCACCATTATCGTTAGTTTGAGCACCACTAGTATTATTTTCATCATCTAATACCTTCCATTGCCCTTCCACTCGTTTTAGATGTACGACGTTCCGTCTGATTTGCTGACCAGTTTCATCGTTCCGTAGAACCTCCTTTGTTCGCTTCGACGGTATGTGTTTCGGGTTCATAGTTTAAGCTCAGCTTGTTTTGTTTAGTCATGTTCTTGACGTATACTTTATCTCCGAATCCAATTCACAGTTAGTAGCCCCTCTTTTCCTATCCGCATATTCCTTCCCTTTTTCCTTTAGTTCTTTATCTCTATCCCTCATTTCAAGATCCTCTGAAGGATGCGTTATGTCTTGGATCATAGGCAGTTTGTCTCGAAATTGCCGTCGAAAGAACATTTCTGCAGGAGTTTTTCCTGTAACTGTGTGAGGTGTACTATTGTACATCACCATATACTCCTGGAGAGCCTCTTTCCAGTTCTTTTTCTCACTTGAGAGATCTTGAGGCGTTTTAGGATGTCCCTATTCTGGCGCTCCACTTCTCCGTTTTGTTGCGGCCAGTAGGGAATGGTATTGTAAAGTCGTATATTCCTCTCTGCGCAGAAGCTCTTAAAGTCTTCGCTGGAAAATTGTCTACCATTATCTGATGTGAGCGTGACTGGATTGCCAAGTCTGCTAAAAATGTCTTTAAGCATTTCAATTATTTCAGAGCTTGATATGGTTCTGCATGTTTTCACTTCTTTATATCTGGTATAATAATCCACGACTACCAGGATATAGTCCCCACTAGGTAATGGGCCCATGAGGTCGATTGCTATGTCAGCCCATGGTTCGGAAGGTAAATCTCTTCTTTTTAATGGGTTTGAGGCGCTGGGAGCAGAGACCAGGATGCATCCTTTACAGGCTTTGCATATGTTTTCAGCATCTTTGTCGCACTTAGGCCACCATACTTTGGTCCTCAATCTGCTCTTCATCGCGACTATCCCCGGGTGGCCTTCGTGCGCTACTACTCGTGCGTTACTAGATCGAACACCTTACCGTACAGGAACATATTGAAATGTTCGACTGCCCAGACCAGGGCTAAGGCCTCCTTCTCTGTTTGGCAGTAACGACGCTCACAGCTGCTGAGGGTTTTATTACCAAATGCAATTATTCTCGGCCCATTCTTGTTGATTTGCACCAACACTGCACCCAGACCCACTGGGCTTGCATCTGCAATCACCACCGTCTTATCATGAGGATTGTAGTAACCTAAATTTGGTACCTTCATAAGTGCCGCCTTGAGATCGCTAAATGCCTTCTTTTGGGCATCCCCCAGTCATCTTGAATGACTGTGTTTCTTCCCGTTCTTTGCCGTAGCAGTTGCTTAAGGGGTTCTGTTATCGTTGCTAAGTGGGGGATCCATTTTCCCACGTAATTCACTAAACCCATAAAACTCTGCAGTTCAGCGATATTCGTCGGGGCTCTGAATCCCTTTATAGCCGAGATATACTTGTCTAGTGGTTTGACTCCCAGTTCTGGCAGTTCATGCCCTAGGAAGTGAACTTTCTTCGTTCTGTAAATGCATTTGTCTTCCCTCAACATTATGTTATTTTCCTCTAACACAGCTAAAACTTTTTTAAGCCTTAAGTCGTGTTCTAATAAGTCTTTCCCAAATATCAAGATGTCATCTATGAAGTTGATGACTCCTTCGCAACCTAGAAGGATTCGTTCTAGTGTTTTTGGAAAATCTCTGGCGCACACGAGATACCAAACATCATTCTTTTGTATCGATACAATCCTTTGCTTTTTTGGCTTCTCGAACTTTTGGCAACAGTTCTTCTATCGTTGGCAGTGGGTGGTTTCACGTTGTATAGCTGTATTTGCTCGGCGCATATCCACACATAATCGGATGTCGCCCCCGTTTTTTAGCACAGGGACTATAGGCGATATCCAGTTAGAAGGACCTTTCACGACTTCTATAATGTCCCTTTTTAGTAATTCTTTCAGTTTATTCTCTACTTTTTCTTCAAGTGGGATGGGAATTCTCCGATACGGCTGAGCAACGGGCTTCACTGAATCGTCAATCGGAATGGTAACTAAAATGCCTTTAAATTTTGGAAACGCCTCAGTACCGA